TAATAAACTTTCATAGTAATGTTATAGATCAGGTGAACATGTTGTTGTGATTATGGTTGTTGTTCTGGTGGTGGTGGTGGTTGTTGTCCTGGTGGTGGTAGTGGTTGTTGTTCTGGTATGTTGTTGTTGTGGTGGTGGTAGTGGTTGTTGTCCTGGTATGTTGTTGTGGTGGTGGTTGTTGTCCTGGTATGTCCTGGTATGTTGTTGTGGTGGTGGTTGTTGTCCTGGTATGTTGTTGTGGTGGTGGTTGTTGTCCTGGTATGTTGTTGTGGTGGTGGTTGTTGTCCTGGTATGTTGTTGTTCTGGTGGTGTGGTGTAGTGGTTGTTGTCCTGTATGTTGTTGTTCTGGTGGTGGTTGTTCCTATGTTGTTGTTCTGGTGGTGGTAGTGGTTGTTGTTCTGATATGCTGTGGTGGTGGTGGTGGTTGTTGTTCTGGTATGTTGTTGTTCTGGTGGTGTGTGGTTGTTGTCTGGTATGTTGTTGTTCTGGTGGTGGTAGGGTTGTTGTCCTGGTATGTTGTTGTTCTAGTGGTGGTAGTGGTTGTTGTTCTGATATGCTGTGGTGGTGGTGGTGGTTGTTGTTCTGGTATGTTGTTGTGGTGGTGGTGGTGGTAGTGGTTGTTGTCCTGGTATGTTGTTGTTCTGGTGGTGGTAGTGGTTGTTGTTCAGGTATGTTGTTGTCGTGGTGGTGGTTGTTGTTCTGGTATGTTGTTGTGGTGGTGGTGGTGGTGGTAGTGGTTGTTGTTCTGGTATGTTGTGGTGGTGGTGGTGGTAGTGGTTGTTGTTCTGGTATGTTGTTGTTCTGGTGGTGGTAGTGGTTGTTGTTCTGGTATGTTGTGGTGGTGGTGGTGGTGGTGGTTGTTGTTCTGGTATGTTGTTGTTGTGGTGGTGGTAGTGGTTGTTGTCCTGGTATGCTGTGGTGGTGGTGGTGGTGGTTGTTGTTGTTCTGGTATGTTGTGGTTGTGGTGGTTAGGGCGGTGTGTCGTGGCCGGCTATATACATGACCTTACTGTATTACACATGAGCGGTCAACTGTACGCCTACTTATACATGCTGGCCACGCGCCCGTCCCCTCACCCCGGCCACACGAAGATCACTATCTATTTATAGCCAATATTGATATAAAGTCTATTGTATTGTCACTACGATAACTTATACAGTCTCATAAAGTAGCGGCCGGTGTGTTGCGTCAGTGTAAATATGGAGGAGGGGTGAGGGTGCCAGCAGCCTCCCTCACTTCACAGCCTTGATAGGGTGGAGAGCCGCGCCCCTGAAGGCTCCTGCGTTAAAAAAAAAAATGCAACTGGAGGTATAAGACCGTGTGTCCCTGATGCACTTAATCAAGAGTAGGTAAATGAGCTTCACAATAGCGTAGATCTTGAGCCAGGACTCTTAACGGTGTGCCTTGCTTCTCTCTCTCCATAGTCAAAGTAATGAGATTTAATTTATGAACCTATGATACTGCACACTACCACTCCCTGCACTCCCCCCCCCCTCCCTTTGACCGCCACCACCACCACCTGCACCTCCCCTACCTGCCTCACCACCACCACCACCACCACACCCCACAAACCTCACCACCACCACCACCACTCCAACACCCCTCACCTACCCTTCACCACCATTACTCCAACACCCGCCCACTGCCCCTCCCACCACCACCCACTCACCCCCACCTACCCTTCACCACCATTACTCCCACAACACCGCCCCACTTGCCCCTCACCACCACCACCACCACTCCTTTACCTACCCTTCACCACCATTACTCCCAGCACCCGCCCCTTGCCCCTCACCACCACCACCACTCCCCTACCCCACCTCCCCCCACCCCCTCACCCACCACCACCACTCCCTAGACCTCCCCCACTTGCCCCTCCCACCACCACCACTCCCAACACCCACCCCACTGCCCCTCCCACCACCACCACTCCAGCACCCCCACCCCACCCCTCCCACCACCACCACTCCAGCACCCCCCCTTGCCCCTCTACCACTCCCCACCTCCCCTACCCCTCACCCACCACTCCCTGCCTCGCCCCCATTTGCCCCTCCCTGCACCTCACTCACTCAGTAAGTCATTTATATTCCTGAACCAAATGAGATAAAATGTTCCCGCGGCTATGAATCAAAGTTGTCAGTTTAATCACAAGTTTTTACAAAAATCACCCACGTAAATTGTTAAGATAATGAGAGCCCACCCAAGTCATGGCCAAGCTCAATTATTCGGAACGAGGAGAACACTTAATGTCAGCTCCATGTATCGAGGAGTCGTCTCTTATAGGCTGGGCTACAGGTATATGTTTGTTATTGCATACAGGTGAGGTCCCCCCCCGTCTCTGTCCCCTTCATATTGTAAACAGAGTGTGTTGTCGTGTTCAGGAGATGATTATAATCCTTCACATCCTCTAACCTGTCTCCTCACACCAATCCCTCATACTGCCTTACATCCTCTCCCTGCTTACCACGAGCACTTTATACTCCCCCACACCACCACCTTATACTCCCTGACACCTCCTCCGTGCCTGACACCACGTTTATCACCACATGTCGAACACTTACACCAGAGGGGTTGTTATCGAGTCATGGTTTTCTACAACTTACAACATTCTATAGTCAGTGTCCCATTGTGTTTCTTAATGGTGCAGGATAAAGGGGTTGTATTAAGCTTTACGTAAGTTGTTTAATGGTGCAAGATAAAGGGGTTATGTTTAGCTTCAATAATTTGTTTAATGGTGCAGGATGTGATTGTTGTCTTTAAAGGTGTTGTGGTGGACCATTAGGATAGCCAATGTTTCTGTCACCAACACACACACACAGTACAACTTTTTGAATACTAAAATCTGAAGTAATATCAACATTATTTTTTAATTTGTAAATCAACCAACCAACCAGCCAGTCAGTCAGTCAGTCTATGAAACACCCCATCAGATAGCCTATCCCCTCAGTCAATGACAGAATAAAACAGTAGATTAGACATTCAAGTAACAGTCAGTCAAACAGAGGAACAGTAGGTTAAGTGGTGAAGGATAGGGAGAAGGAGATTGAGAGGGGGTAGAGGGGGGAGACGGACCCAGTCAAAATACCTCTCGGATAAAAAGAAGAAAAAAATATAGAGATTAATATTTACAAAACAAATATACGTGGTGGAGTTGAGGTCGGTGAAAATGCGAAAGTCACTGGTATGACCTTGGTGGAGGGGTCAGAGGTCACGGTCAGGAGGAGACGTCATTTTAGGGATGGTTGGTGAATTAATTTTGAAGGTGTGTTGACATTATGTTGGTGCTACATTTTCTTCTGAGTAAATAAGGGGGGTGACTCGTTACTTTGAGGACCACAGTTTGGTACCTTAACCTTACCTAATCTAACCTAGCTTAACCTAACCTAGCTTAACCTAACCTTACCTTATCTAATCTAGCTTAACCTAAACTAGTTTAACCTAACCTAACCAAACCTTATCTAATCTAGCCTAACTTAAACTAGCTTAACCTAACCTAACCTTATATAACCTAATCTAGCCTAACCTTATCTAATCAAAGCTAATCTAACCTGACTTAACCTAACCTAACCTTATCTTATCTTACCTAACCTAACTTAACTCATCTTACCGAACCTAACCTAAGCTAACCTAATTTAAACTAATCTAGCCAAACCTAACCTGACCTAAACTAATCTAACCTAACCTTCTCAGCACCTCTGCCAACACTACCACACTCCACCTTCCCTCCACCTCTACCAACACTATCACACTCCACCTCCCCTCCACCTCTGCCAACACTACCACACTCCACCTACCCTCCACCTCTGCCAACACTACCACACTCCACCTTCCCTCCACCTCTACCAACACTTACCTTAACCCTCTTCCTCTCGGTGTGTGGGCGGGATCTGGTGTAGACATAGGGCGGCAGGTGTATGGGCGGCGGTTGTAGTGTTTGGTGTTGTGTGGTGTGGTATGTGGTGTGGTGTGGTGTGGTGTGGTGGCAGCCAACACATTACACAATATAAATAGTGTGTCAAAAGCGAGATCCCGAGTGACGGCTTGTTGATGAGGCTGAGGGACCAGGGGGAGGGACCTGGGGGAGGGACCAGGGGGAAGGACTAGGAGGGACCACAGTTGTGTTCTCCACCTCTCCACCACCACCACTCACTCCACCACCATGTAATCCACCTCTCCACCACCACGTACTCCATCTCTCCACCACTGTCGTGTACTCCACCTCTCCACCACTGTCGTGTACTCCACCACCACCGTCAGGGAGTGAGGCAGAAGTTTATGTCAGGTGGTGATGGCGGTGTAGTGCTTGTCGCTTATCACCAGCCAGGGTGTAAACATGGCCACTCACCCAGACACATTACCTCCACAGTCTTCAACTTAAACCATTATCTTACCACGGCCGTACACCATTAACCATAAGGGCGGCCAACCTTCATAATTGATAAGAGTTTTCGTCCCTTAGGTGGGTGTCAGAATCTAGTATGGAGGTTCCCGAGGTCTAAATTTGGGCGTGAGGATACTGAAGGTGGGCCATCAGCTGCCACAGTGGGTGGGTGTGGTGGTTCTTCAAGGGCCGTGTTTATCACCTGTTGAGATAACTTTACTGTCTCGAAGGGTGTTTGGTGAGGGTGTCTCATCTATTATAAGGAGGTGCACGTGTTGTGGCTGTGGTTAGGTTAGGTTAGGTTAGGTTAGGTTAGGTTAGGACAAGTGATTCGTCAGCATAATTCGCCAGCGTGAGTGTTGTTAGGAGCGATAAAAATGTATGATTGTTATTGTTTCTTTTTCATAAAGATTGAAAGGCAAAGTTTTTTTTTTCCAGGCGTATAATGACAGTGGTGTAGTTTGGTGTTCACAGGTGTGTTAAGATGGTGTTTTGGTGCTGACAGGTGTGTTAAGATGGTGTTTTGGTGCTGACAGGTGTGTTCAGACTGAGTTTTGATAGCGCCAGGTTTGTTATACGGGATATTTACAGATGTGTTAAAACAGTGTTGTATTTGCAGGTGTGGGATGAAGAACTAGCCACAGTAGCCCAGCGGTGGGCAGATCAGTGCATGCCAGGCCACGACCGAGCCAGGAATGTGGGTAAGTTATTATTATTATTATTATTATTATTATTATTATTATTATTATAATTATTATTATTATTATTATTTAGTATTATTAATGGCTAGTATTATTAATATTATTATTATTATTATTATTATTATTATTATTATTATTATTATTATTATAATTATAAATCTCTCTCCTCTCTCTCTCTCTCTCTCTCTCTCTCTCTCTCTCTCTCTCTCTCTCTCTCTCTCTCTCTCTCTCTGAATTTGAAAGTAGACTGCAGAAGAATAAAGATAATTTCATATACAGGTAATTATATGCATATACAAATAATAATAAACACATTTAAAGGTAAAACACACACACACCTACACAAATAAATAATCACATACAATTAAATAAACACAGAAATAAACAAAACACACAAAATAAGCGGCACGTGTAGAGAGTAAACAAAACAAATAAACAAAAGACAGACAGGTAAACACAGTATTTACTCAGACAATTACAGGGTGTGTGTTAGCCTGGCAGGCGTGACCAGAGATACAATTTCTTGCTGGGATGAACCACGCTAAGTGTTCCTCGTGACTAATGGCTCTCGACTGTCATATGATTCAAAACTAGTTTTTTCCTCCGTGTGTGTGTGCCAGGTACACCTTACTAAGAGTACTATGGTTGGCATGACACAGCACATTCTACACCAGTGCGCCACTGTTCTTATTGCCCCCACTGTATACCCCTGGCCGAATGCTGTTGTGGCGGGCCGAGAGTGCTGGCCTGGTCAGCAGAGTGCTGTTGGCCTGGCCGAGTGCTGTTGTCCGAGCCAGGTGTTGTTGTCTGGACCAAGTGCTGTTGTGTGGGCCGAGTGCTGTTGGCCGGGTGGAGTGATGTTGGCCTGGCCGTATGCTGTTGTGTGGGCCGAGTGCTGTTGTCCGTGCCAGGTGCTGTTGTGTGGGCCGAGTGCTGTTGGCCGGGTGGAGTGATGTTGGCCTGGCCGTATGCTGTTGTGTGGGCCGAGTGCTGTTGGCCTGGCCGAGTACTCAACCAGGCCCAGTTTTCTCTGAGACAGAGCGGTCCAGCCCCTTAAAGTGAGTGGAGCAGTTACTTGAGCCATGACTGTCGGTAAACTGACCCATGAGTGGCAGCTTGACCTCTGACCCGATTCAATGTTGACCTGACTCTCGACTCTGCTGACCACCTCCTACCCCTCCACCCTCCTCCCTACAACCCCACGAGCCAACCACAAGGCCAGGCAGGGAACCATAACCTGTCTGGTAATTTTGTGGTATGTCATAAAAATTAGCGCAGCCATAACTTACCCGCAATCTATTGTTGTTGTTGTGTGTGTGTGTGTGTGTGTGTGTGCTTGCTTGGGGTGGGGGGTGGGGGGAGGGCGGGCGGCCACAAACACCAGCTGACACTTAACTAGTTGGCTACATTATCACCCGGCATCAGTAGCGACGCCCACACGTTCTCTCACTAAATCTTGGGTTAAAATTTATCTCCCTAACACAAGTTTTTATCTGAGGAAGTTATCTACCTCCTCCTCCTTCCCCTAGCCCCCTTCCCCTCCTCCCCCTTCCCCTCCTCCCCCTTCCTCCCTTCCCCTCCTCCTCCTCCTTCCCCCCTCCTCCTCCTCCTCCTCTTGGTGACAGCATCACTCATCAGCCTTCAACTACATTGTTCAATTGGTGGTAGTAATTCCACCTCACACTGCCTCATTCCACTTCTCCACCTGACACTGCCTTGCTCTCCCTCCACCTCCACACTGCCTCATTCTACCCCTTCACCTCACACTGCCTCACTCCCTCTCCACCTCACACTGCCTCATTCCACTTCTCCACCTGACACTGCCTTATACTCCCTCCACCTCACACTGCCTCATTCTACCCCTCCACCTCACACTGCCTCACTCCACCTCTCCACCTGACACTTCCTTATACTCCCTCCACCTGACACTACCTCACTCTACCCCTCCACCCCAGATTCACCCCTCACCTCTATCTCCTCCTCCTTCCACCCTCCTCCTCGTCTCCTCTTCTTCTTCGTCGTCCTCCTCCTCTCCTCTCCTCTCTTTTTCTTCCTTTGTCTTCGAGCCTCTGCATCTCCCTTTTCCTTCCTCCGCCTCCTCCCTACCTCATCTTCTTCATACCTCCTCCTCCTCCCCACCTTCCCCTTCCCCCTTTGGCCTCCCGCCTCCTCCCTACCTCATCCTGCTTCCACCACCTCCTCCCCTCCTCCTCCTTCCCACCTTCCCTTCCCCCTTCCCTCCCCCTCCTTCACCACCTCATCCCTCTTCCTTACCCTTCCTTCCTCCCCCTCCTTCACCACCTCCTCGACTAACTCTTCACCTCTCGGAGTGGACTGGACAAATAGTGACTTTGGACCAACAAGACCTCTGGTTATAACATGAATTGGCTAAGTTAGGTTTGGTTACGTTACATTAGGATTAGGGTGGTTAATCTTTTGGTGAAATATACTGGATTAGGTTAGGGTAGGATGCTTTGACGTTAGGTTAGGTTAGGGTAGGATGCTTTGACGTTAGGTTAGGTTAGGGTAGGATGCTTTGACGTTAGGTTAGGTTAGGGTAGGATGCTTTGACGTTAGGTTAGGGTAGGATGCTTTGACGTTAGGTTAGGTTAGGGTAGGATGCTTTGACGTTAGGTTAGGGTAGGATGCTTTGACGTTAGGTTAGGTTAGGTTAGGTTAGGGTAGGATGCTTTGACGTTAGGTTAGGTTAGGGTAGGATGCTTTGACGTTAGGTTAGGTTAGGGTAGGATAAAGTAGAGTTTATTTTAAGTTTGATGAGGTTAGGTTTGGTTTAGTTTGGTTAGCTTAGATTTGGTTTAGTTTGGTTAGGTTAGATTTGGTTTAGTTTGGTTAGCTTACATTTGGTTTAGTTTGGTTAGCTTACATTTGGTTTAGTTTGGTTAGCTTAGGTTTTGGTTACTTAAGCTACCTAAGGTTTGGTTTGGTTAGCATTAATTTGGTTTAGATAGTTTAAGTTATCTTCCGGTCAAATAACCTGGGTGTCTAATCTTCAGGTGATCCGAATCTATGGTCTAACACCTTAGTAGACTCTTAATAGGCTTCAAGGGAGACGACTACGAGTGAAGAAAAGAAGCATTAAATGGTGTGTGTGTGTGTGTGTGTGTGTGTGTGTGTGTGTGTGTGTGTGTGTGTGTGTGTGTGTGCGCAGAGAGAAGGGCGGGTCAGCCTGCTTCTTGCATATCAAGTTTACAGATCAGGGTAGATGAAGCGAGATAACGACTTGCCCACACACACACACACATACACACACACACACACACACACACACACACACACACACACACACACACTTACTTATAACTCTCCCTGATGACTAGACAGGTGTGGAGGACAAGATGTGGTAGACAGGGTAGAATACAGTTGTGGTGGACAAGAGAGGTGGACAGGTATGGCGGACAGGTGTGATGAACAGATGTGGAGGACAGGTGTGGTAGACAGGGTAAAATACGGGCATGGAGGAAGGGTGAGATGAACAGGTGTGAAGGACAGGTGAGGTGGACAGGTGTGGCGGCCAGGTGTGGCAGACAGTTGGCAGTATTATATGAGGGGAAGAGGGGACAGTTCTCTCCCCCACCCCATACATGTTCCCTCCCCCACCCCATACATGTTCTCTCCCCACCCCATACAGTACATGTTCTCTCCCCCACCCCATACATGTTCTCTCCCCACCCCACATGTTCTCTCCCCCATACATGATCTCCCCACCCCATACATGTTCTCTCCCCCACCCCATACATGTTCTCTCCCCCACCCCATACATGTTCTCTCCCCACCCCAAACATGTTCTCTCCCCATCCCATATAAATATCATTACTTTCCAACACTTATAAAAACAATTAAGTAATATAAGTAGAGAGGGACGAAATTCACCATCCTTGATAAGTGATTAAGTAATTAAATCTGGTAAGAAAACATAATTATACTCTTACCATTAATTTAATCTCTTATTTTTTTTCTTTACTTACAAAATTAATCCCTTAAGTAGAAAGGTATGTACCCGCTGTCCCTTGATATGTGTCTGTAACACTTGAGGGTCTGGCCATTAGGTAGCGCTCAAGGTACAGTGCTAAGGTGGTAATGACGGCTGGTGTCGACCTGATTAAAACGGTGGCTGTATCATCGCCAACCCAGCAACGGAAAGTGTTGTGTTGGCTCACCTGGACGACCTAGTGAGGTGTGAGGGGTGTAAGGGTGGTGGGTGTAAGGGAGTGTGTGAGGTGTGACGGTGGTTGGTGTAAGGGAGAGTGTGACGTGTGACGGTGGTGGGTGTAAGGGAGTGTGTGACGTGTGACGGTGGTAAGGGTGACGGTGGTTGGTGTAAGGGAGTGTGTAAGGGTGGTGGGTGTAAGGGAGAGTGTGAGGGGTGTGAGAGAGACGGAGGGGGGTTGTAATCGTTAGGTTAGGTTAAGCTAATGTTAAGTTAAGTTACATTTGGGTGAAAGTATGACCAATAGTCTCTTTGAATTGTGTCATCATCTCAGTGTTGTATTCTGGTCTCCTGGTCCGAATTCACACACACACACACACACACACACACACACACACACACACACACACACACACACACACACACACGTCAGATAGAGAAAGTTAATTTTCTTTACTGACCCCGAATTATCACATCAAAACCGCGGATTTGGTTAACTTAAGATTAAACTGGTTAGATTATGTTAATTGAGAAGTAGATAGGAATAGGTTAAGTTTGGTTAGATTGGTTGGTTGGGTTAAGGTGTTAGATTTGGATAGATTAGATTAGATAAGGTTAGATTAAGTTAAGTTAGGTTTGGGTTAGATTGGTAAATGTTAGGTTAATTTGAGTGGATAATGTTGTTAGGTTAGGGTTAGATTGAATAAGGTTAGGTTAGGTTAGATTAAGTTGGCGTTGGGTTAAGTTAACCCACACCTGACCAAGAGTACTACTACTATGTCCCCAGCACTGTGCCACCATGTGTCCCCAGCACTAACTGTGTCACCATGTGTCCCCAGCACTAACTGTGTCACCATGTGTCCCCAGCACTAACTGTGTCACCATGTGTCCCCAACACTAACTGTGTCACCATGTGTCCCCAGCACTAACTGTGTCACCATGTGTCCCCAGCACTAACTGTGTCACCATGTGTCCCCAGCACTAACTGTGTCACCATGTGTCCCCAGCACTAACTGTGTCATGTGTCCCCAGCACTAACTGTGTCACCATGTGTCCCCAGCACTAACTGTGTCACCATGTGTCCCCAGCACTAACTGTGTCACCATGTGTCCCCAACACTAACTGTGTCACCATGTGTCCCCAGCACTAACTGTGTCACCATGTGTCCCCAGCACTAACTGTGTCACCATGTGTCCCCAGCACTAACTGTGTCACCATGTGTCCCCAACACTAACTGTGTCACCATGTGTCCCCCCAGCACGCTTCACCGTGGGCCAGAACGTGGCAGCGGCCTGGACCTACGAGAGGGATGAGGGGGACACGCCGGACTTCGCTACACAGGTGGAGGCGTGGTTCAACGAGGTCAATCAGTACGGCTTTCCCAAGGGCAGTGTGGACCCCTTCAGATTCAACAAGGCAACGGGTCACTACACACAGGTGAGACTCCACCCGGGTGACGCCTCTAATGACAAGGTTTACCTGTGTGTGTGTGTGTGTGTGTGTCAGTCAGGGAAGGTGTTGTCGAACAATCTAAGTGTAGGAGAATAATGTCAAAAATCCTTGTGAGACACACCTGTGATACAGTCCTTACACACCTGTGATACAGTCCTTACACACCTGTGATACAGTCCTTACACACCTGTGATACAGTCCTTACACACCTGTGATACAGTCCTTACACACCTGTGATACAGTCCTTACACACCTGTGATACAGTCCTTACACACCTGTGATACAGTCCTTACACACCTGTGATACAGTCCTTACACACCTGTGATACAGTCCTTACACACCTGTGATACAGTCCTTACACACCTGTGATACAGTCCTTACACACCTGTGATACAGTCCTCATACACTTGTGATACAGTCCTTACACCTGTGATACAGTCCTTACACACCTGTGATACAGTCCTTACACCTGTGATACAGTCCTTACACACCTGTGATACAGTCCTTACACACCTGTGATACAGTCCTTACACCTGTGATACAGTCCTTACACACCTGTGATACAGTCCTCACACACTTGTGATACAGTCCTTACACCTGTGATACAGTCCTTACACACCTGTGATACAGTCCTCATACACTTGTGATACAGTCCTTACACATCTGTGATACAGTCCCACACACCTGTGATACAGTCCTACACACCTGTGATACAGTCCCACATCAATTCCGTGATACAGTCCCTTACACACCTGTGATATAGTCCACACACCTGTGATAGCAGTCCTTACACCTGTGATAGTCCTTACACATCTGTGATACTGTCCTCACACACCTGTGATACAGTCCTACACCTGTGATACAGTCCTTACACACCTGTGATACCGTCCTTACACCTGTGATACAGTCCTTACACAATCTGTGATACTGTCCCCACACCTGTGATACAGTCCTTACACCTGTGATACCGTCCCACACACCTGCATACAGTCCCACACCTGTGATACAGTCCCACACACCTGTGATACTGTCCCACACCTGTGATACAGTCCTTACACCTGTGATACAGTCCCACACACCTGTGATACCGTCCTTACACACCTGTGATACAGTCCTTACACACCTGTGATACAGTCCTTACACACCTGTGATACAGTCCTTACACACCTGTGATACAGTCCTTACACACCTGTGATACAGTCCTTACACACCTGTGATACAGTCCTTACACACCTGTGATACAGTCCTTACACACCTGTGATACAGTCCTTACACACCTGTGATACAGTCCTTACACACCTGTGATACAGCCCTTACACACCTGTGATACAGTCCTTACACACCTGTGATACCGTCCTTACACCTGTGATACAGTCCTGGCTATCAACTGTGATACAGTCCTCATACACTTGTGATACAGTCCCACGTTCCGTATACAGTCCCACACACCTGTGATACAGTCCCACACACCTGTGACACAGTCCTTACACCTGTGATACAGTCCCTACACACCCAGGATAAGGTCCTCACACACCTGTGACAGTCCTTACACCTGTGATACAGTCACACACCTGTGATACAGTCCTTACACACCTGTGATACAGGTGATACAGTCCTTACACACCTGTGATACAGTCCTCACACACTTGTCAGTCCTTACACACTGTGATACAGTCCTTACACACCTGTGATACAGTCCTCATACACTTGTGATACGACCCCTTGCTTCTGCAATACAGTCTCCACACATTTGTGACACCCTCACCCCCCCCCCCACACACACACACCAAGCACACTGTGTGTGAAATGGCACAACACTTCATCTCTAATGGCAAGATAGCCGACATACTAAGATTGTATCCACTTTTTTGCACTAAGTAACTATATTAGTTCTCATGCACAGAACCAAATACACAATGTGCTTGAATACTTCTCACGCAAATGTGAATAACAAAGTGTGCGGCCAGACATACTGCCTCACACGCCTGTACTCACGCAGTTGTGAATAAGTTACCCTTTATGTATAGAACTGAACAAATAATGTATTTTAAATACTGTGTAACATTCAGTGCCATAATATCCTGACCACGGGGGTTAATTATTATGACCCTTTGTAAACTCTACTCTGTAATCCTTTTGCGCTACCGCTCACAGATGAGTATGGGGTGCACAATAAACTAGCCGCTGTAATCGGCAAAATCAAATCAATCACACACATCCTCACTCCCCGTCTCTCCCACATACATATTCTTACCCATTCTTCCACACCTACACACCCTCCCTCCCACACACCTGCCCTCACCCTCCCTCCCACATACCTACCCTCACCCTCCCTCCCACATATACCCTCACTCCCTCTTCCTCCCCCGCCCCCTTCCCCCGCCTCCCGGTGGTCAACACTCAATAACACCAAACCATTGCGTGGTGACAGGCCACATAGGCCCCGACCTTACTTAACCAGCAGGAGTAGTGGTCTAGTCCTAATGGGCTTCAGTCCAAATTATTAGGTTAAGTTAGGTTAAGCTGGGTTAGGTTAGGGTAGGTCAAGCTGGGTTTGGTTAGGGTAGATCAAGCTGGGTTTGGTTAGCGTAGGTATAGTTACGTTAAGTTGGGGTAGGTTAGGTTAAGATTGGTTAAGTTATTAGGCTAGATTTTTTTAATTTTGGTTAGGTTTAATTACATTTGGTTAAATTACGCTAGGTTAGGTTAAGTTAAATCAAAATAGATTAAGGTATGTCAGGTTAAGGTAGGTTAAATGAAATTCGGTTAGGTTAGGTTAACTGGGGATATTTTTGGACTGACTTCATTTCACCAGCAACTGTAGATACAATGGGCGGTTGTGTTACGTCAAACACCCAACAAACTGCTTATAATATGTCGTAATTTCTTAAGTGTAGGTAGAAAACATCACTCCTCCACGGGGAATTACAAGCGGTCATCTCTGCCTCCTCCTCAACTCCAACAGGTGTCGAGGACGAGGTGTGGAGACAATGTAATAAAAGTCCAAGGATATTTACTGCCACATTTCACAACCTAAGAAGCGGTGGTGTTTTTTTTTATTTCGACTATTTGTTGCTGATGCCTTTACGGAGTGAGGGCAGGTGAAGAGGGTAGTGAGCGTTAACAGCTGTGTGGTGTAGTGATGTAAACATGGTACTGTACTGCACTGATGTTATTCCTTGCTACCACGAACACACACTTCGTCGAGGGTGGGTGAGGAACGAGTAAGGGTGCACTGGGGTGGCGAAGCATAACCAGGGTGCACGGGGAGTGGCGGTGCATGATCAGGGTGGGCAGAGGATGGCGGGGCAGGACCAGGGAGGGCAGAGGATGGCGGGGCAGAACCAGGATGGCGGGGGGATGGCGGGGCATGACCATGGTGGTGTAGGGGGTGGCGGGGCACAACCAGAGTGGGCGCGGCGTGGTGGTGCTTGACCAGGGTGAGTGGGGGGTGGCAGTACATGATCAGAGTGGGCAAGGGGGTGGCGGGGTATGACCAGGGTGGGTGGGGTGTGGCAGGGCATGACCAGGGTGGGCGAGGACTGGCGGGGAAGGTCAATATTAATGACGGTGTGTGATGGTTCTCAGTTGGTCTTTGTATTGAGGTGTTTTCTTAGGTGAGAGAACCGCACCCATCCTCATCCTGCCTTCTTCACCTTCCCTCCGTCTCGCCCTCCATCACAGTCCCTTACCTTCTCTCACAATCTTTTACCTTGACCATTGCGTTAATGAATAAAAAAACTCTAACGTAACCAACCCATAGCACTCAACTTCCGCCTCTTCCTCTTGTTGACAACGGTGACACCCTTTAACGCTTGATTCATCTGTGGTAAAGTCAGCCGACGTGGTGACATGCCAGTCCAATCCTCGGCCACTGGTACTGCTGGTACACACACGGACGCTTAGGACAGTAAACCGATGGCTGCACACAAGACGCTAGGACAGGGCCACAACTCGTGTCCCAGAAGTGGCCAGATATTGTTAACTGAGGGACCCCCAGGAAGCTCATGGCCGAATAAGAAAGGGAGAAAAGATGGAATAGAGGGAAGGAAGGAGAGAGAGAAAATGGAAGAAAGGGAAGGAGGGAGGGAGAGAAAATAGAAGAAAGGGAAGGAGGGAGGAAGAGAAGATAGCATGAAAGGAAGGAAGGAAGGAGGAAGAGATGGAAACCTCTCAAGGAACTTTCATTATTACGCCCCCACCAAGGATAGCCACCCTAAGTCTCACTATACCCCGTTCTCACCACCCCGTGTCTCACCACCCCGTGTCTCACCACCCCGTGTCTCACCTCACCCCGTGTGTCTCACTACCCCGTGTTTCACCACCCCGTGTCTCACCACCCCGTGTCTCACCATGAGTCTCATCACCCCGTGTCTCACTACCCCGTGTTTCATCACCCTGTGTCCCATCACCCGAGTCTCACCACCCCGCGTCTCACCACCCCATCTCTCACCTCACCCCGGTCTCACCACCCCGTGTCTCACCACCCTGAGTCTCACTCACCCTGTGTCTCACCACCCCGTGTGTCTCACTACCCCTGTTTCTCACCACCCCGTGTCTCACCACCCTGAGTCTCATCACCCCGTGTCTCACTACCCCGTGTTTCATCACCCTGTGTCCCATCACCTGAGTCTCACCCACCCCGCGTCTCACCACCCCATCTCTCACCACCCCATCTCTCACCACCCCCGTCTCACCACCCCGCGTCTCACCACCCCGCGTCTCACCACCCCAAGTGTCTGCCACCCCTCTGCTACCCCGCGTCTCACTACCCCGCGTCTCGACTACCCCTCGCCACCCCGCGTCTCGCTACCCCGCGTCTCAATACCCCGTGTCTCACTACCCCGCGTCTCACCACCCCGCGTCTCACCACCCCGCGTCTCACCACCCGGTGTCTCACTACAAAATTTAGTTAAACTATAAAACAAATTAGGTGATAAATTTGTGGGTGATTCATATAGTGTACGTGTGTGTGTGTGTGTGTGCGCCTGTGTGTGTGCGTGCCTGTGTGTGTGTGTGCCTGTGTGTGCGTGTGCCTGTGTGTGCGTGTGCCTGTGTGTGTGTGTGTGTGAGAGAGAGGGTCAGTGTCGTGTGGCACTCGGCAGGTCGTCTGATTTTAGCTGTAGATTGAGGTTGGAATTTCTCCAGGGACAGCCAGTTTTTCCCGGTGGCTTCAATGATAATACCGCTGCTCTCTCTCTCTCTTGATCACTGCTCTCAAGGCCACCAATTCATTATACCACGTAACTATTCCTTAAGGATTTTCAAGAAGACGAAATATATCAAAATGGCCGTTTGATACTTTTATCTTACCATTTGGTGATGAATCTTAATAACTATTAGAGTCACAACCTGTATCTGTCATCCTATAGGTATCACTACACAGGTGCCTCATTACTCTAGTGTACCTTTGTCACCTTTGTCAGAATTTCAAGTATGTTTATTTTGTAGTGATGCTGTAGTGTGTTCCTAAGTTATGGTTATATATTTGTTGATGTCTAGGTTAAATTACTCTATGTATGTATTTTACTGTAACCACTGTACCTGTATTATATGAGTTCAAATGTATAATTGTACAGGTATTTCTGAACAAAGTTATTAATTTGTATTATTTTTTTTCTTCTCTAGGTAAAGCCATGACGCTGGTCCACCCCCTCCCCTCCCCTCGCCATTACCCTCGCCAATGATGACCCGGCAGGCACCTCTCTCTCTCTCTCATTCCCATATCCTTTTCCCTCACTCACTCCCCTTCTCGTCCTTTTCTCTCATTCCGTCACTCAAACTCTCTCTCTCTCTCCAACCTCCTCCTTGAGTCACTTCCTCGGGGCCTGCCGGAACTCATCTCCACCTCGAGTCAGCCTTCCTCACCCTCGATCTTCAAGTTGTTCCTCATCAATTTTTTAACATACTTGAATACTTTCCTCTGTAGTTTTTAATATATATGATAATTAAGGTCAATAGTAGAGGTTATGAGACCGACTCTTGGTTATTGGTAAGTGTGTGTGTGTGTGTGTGTGTGTGTGTGTGTGTGTGTGGTTAATGTAAGTTTCCTCTTCATCAGTAATCATTGCTTTCTTTGGTTGAGGCCAGAATGTCTACAGCCTTCCTTCATACTCTCGCTTATTCTCCCTTTTTCATCACCTTGAGTACGATGTCAACCCCCTGAGTACAATGACTTAACCCATTAAAACGATATCCCATCCTCTTGAGTACAATGATGTTATACTCAGTGGATTAATTCATTTTTACTCACGAGGTTGACATCGTACTCAAAAGGTTAAGTTATTATACTCAATGGACTAATTCATTATACTCGGCGGATAAAGTCATCATATTCCGGGATTAATTCTCCGCTCTTGAAAACCAACTATTCAATATGTCTCATCTTTCACACACTTAGGTATGTCTCAGATCATACACACCTCAGCCTCCTCCCTCCCCAGAAGACATTAATCACTTCAGCCAAAGAGTCAAACTTCGCCATATTTCCTTATAAACACACGTAATGTTGGGTGTGTTGTGTATGTTTACTGTATGTGTTAATATATAATCATGAAGGTCCTTGTGTATGTTCTGGTTGTATGGAGAGTTCATCCATACGTGCTACCCTGTCCTTCCAAACCTGTCCCTCTATCTTCATTTACATCTTCAAGTCATGTCCTTAAAATTGGGACATCACCCATCACTATTACCACTACTACCACTACTACTACCACCACCACCACCACCTCCATCACCACTAACACCTTCACCCCTAACATCACTATTACCATCACCACCACCGTCGTCACCACCACCACCATCACCACCACCACCACTACAGCCTCACCCTGGTCCTGCACCACCACATCCTTACTTGTACCCTGTCGACCTGCCCTCGTCCTTCCTCCCCTGTCAGTCTCCTTCATGACACTGTCTCCTAAAGTCTCCTACAGCATGCGTTATTATCTCTCTCCTTATTCGTTAACTGTGAATAATCTTCGAGAAAACAATACTATTATGTAATCTGCTCCCATCAAACTCACAACAACATATTGGTAATGATAACAAAAAGTCTTCCTTAAGATACTTCAATTTCTTGGTAGAGCCCAGCCCTCGACTCTGTATAGTCTTAAGATGATACACAGTGTTAACAGCAGCAGTGAGAGACTACTCTACTGGTGCTGCTTCATCACAAGTGTCCTCACCATAACCTAGTGTGTCCCCACCGCCCCTCACCCCACTTCACCTCACCACCCATACCTGCCCGACCCCCCCCCCCCCCCCACTCACCCCTCTCCTTACTGTGAATCTCGTTGACAGACACAGCAGGTATTGTCTGTCTGTATTAATTTATCTTGTCATTTACACGCCAGCTTACACGTCAACTTCATCTACTTGGTTTAGTGTTTACCTGATTTCACTTTATATCAAATGATTCAACTTTACTGGCAGCATCAAAATTGTACTCAGGTATGACTACCATTATCTGATGACCATGATGGTGATGGTCAGCTGGCGTGTGTTAGCTTCACGTACTGGCTTCAGTCTCACTGGCCTGCGTCAGTAGTAAATGCTGAAAACAATATCCCCGGGCTCACTTCATCACGGCTCGGAGACATAAAATGGCTCAGAGATGCGACACCCAGTCACCCGGCGTAGCATCGGTCGAGAGGCGCGGCAGGTGTAGCAATACACAGGTGTCATTAACATGTGTAGTCTCCCTGTGTCCTCCATAGTGGGTAGCTCTTGCGCCACCACCTGTGTTCCCTACACGAGCAGGTGTGAGGCAACACATGTGGTGAATGTCAGGAGGTGCCCGGGGTAAGTAAAGTGTAAGTAACAACACAATAAGACCTACCGTGACCTACACTATGTGACCAGACCATGCCACATCCTCCTACATGCTACTGTCCCAGGCCTGAGAACACGGTATAAGCCAGACAACCTAACAGTATATATGGACGACTATATGACACTTCCGGGCTCCACGACGTTCTTCCAACTAGACAGCGGAACTCTAGACACAAACATAAAGTCTCAGATCCGACAAGGTCATTCCACAGTGGGAAAATCCAGCAACAGGCTAGACGAGGTCATCCTCTTCCCAGTGTTGACAGCTACATGCCGGGCGAGCAGACGTCATACAACAGTCTCGACTCCTACGACAAATTTTGCCGCCCACATCACACACATCTAGTAATCACTCTCGGATCTTTTCTGTTCTTCAGATGAACTGACCAGAACTTGAGAGGTCTTGCTGGTCTTATACAGGGGTCGAGTATGTGTTCTGTGACCTCAACGCTCATGTTACCCCAAGACACTTTTCCCTCAGTTACTGCCAATATACAGCTTTTGTTCGTTGTGTCGTTTAGTCCGACTCTCTCTCACTGTTACAGCACGGACTCTGAGGACTACGTGACACTGCTTGGACCTTTCTTGTGACTATGTCTTTCCAATGTTTTGTTTATTACTGTTTTTCTGAACTATTTCTTGAAGATTTATGGAAACCCCAGTCCACTTTCTATTTGTATAATAAGACCATAAGATTTGTCTAGATTTAGAGATGATTATGATATGTGTAACACAGTACAGCTAAGTGTTAAAAGTTATTTAGTTAATAGGCAAAGATGTTTTGTAGTACCCATAGGTAACAGAGAGTGTGTTAACTTTTATCAATATACTGTTCAATACAAGGTGTCCTCGCCTATACTATTTCTCAAACTATATTCTAAATTGTAAGGATGTTTCCCAAGTAGTCCTGTAGTTCGCTTGAGTGAGTTGTAATAGACGCCTTCAGTCAGTGTGTGAGCGTCATGTTGTAGAGACAGTGTTTATTTTTGTTAGTGGGGTGTAGTGTTGACCGACACACACACACACTTACTATAACATCCCATCAATGCCCGTCTAACCTGCTCTCTCTCATCTTCTTCTACTGACAACTTCTGCTACTGGTGCACCTACCGGTACTGGTACACTTCCTGGTACTGGTGTCGTCTCTGCTACTGGTGCACCTACCGGTACTGGTACACTTCCTGGTACTGGTGTCTCTGCTACTGGTGCACTTACCGGTACTGGTGACGTCCCTGGAACTGGTACACTTGGCGGTACTGATTATGGTGCCGCCTCTGCTACTGGTACACTTCCTGGTACTGGTGACATCCCTGGAACTGGTACACTTGGCGGTACTGGTACTGGCGACGTCCCTGGAACTGGTGCGCGTGGTTGATGGTGCTGGTGACGACGACGACGGCGACAACAACGAAGATGGTGTGGGCAGAGACATACCTGGTCGGGTGTGGCTACGCCTACTACAAGGACCCTGCCCTGGGCTACACCAAGATCTACGTGTGTAACTACGCCCCCGGGTGAGTGTGTCCTCCCTCCTCCCCTCCCTTATCAAACACCATCAACAATCCTTGTGACTGAAGATAAAAGATTACACGTAGTTGATTGACTTTACCTAAAACACAAAAAAACAATGCACCAAAATCACCTCAAAGTTACACTGACACTCAAATTAGATGCCGAACGTTCATTCCCCTTAAAAAGACAAAATTTTATATACAACATAAGACTCCTTGGAAATAATCTCCACCTCAATTAGATGTCCTAACTGATCCTAAGTGATCTAGTTAAGGTAGTATTAGAGTAATATTTAGATGTATTTTTATTAATATTCTACTTTTGTGTTTTAGTTTTAGTTGTCGAGTTCATTATCCCATCATCAGTTTGGTAAGAACGGTGCAGCCTAATCTAAAGGGCACCTGATAGTGTTCTTACCTCAGTATAGCCAAAAGACACTTTGTAAAACTAAAGTTACCCAATGAATATAATGTCTTGACTCAATATGGCGGAAGGATATATTGATTTTTAACTTACCAGAAAAGAAAATTTTTGACATGATAAACCCGAAAAGAGACAATTTTTTTTACTTAATATACCCGAAGAGAGATAATTTTTTACATGATTTATCCGAAGAGACATAATTTCTAACATGATATACCCAAAGAGATATAATTTTTGAAACAATATCCTACCTGAATATTTCAACAGAGGCAACGTGATAGGAGGCTCCCTGTACAAGCTCGGGTTCCCTGGCCAACAGTATTGTGTCAACGACGGGCTCCACCCCTCAACTGCCTACCAGGGCCTTTGTGGTGAGTCTCTCTCTCTCTCTCTCTCTCTCTCTCTCACACTATTGTAATATTTGTACATGAAACAATATTCGCTTTTTGAGTACAGGTAAGAGAGATAATCACAGGTATTTCAGGTCTCACCATCAACACACTCACTCAAGTCTAATATATGAACTTTTATTTCAAGATAAAGTAACTTTGTGTACTCCAGTCTTTTCCTATTTATAACACTGGTATATATTTATTTGGTCCAAAGTGCTTATAGATTATCGGTCAGAGTGATGCACAAATACCCTAATCCAGAACCTAACCTAACCCTAGCTAACCTAACCTAACCTAACCAAATTTAACTTCACCTATCTATCTACCTTAACCTAACCAAATCTAAACTAACTTCACCTATCTATCTACTCTAACCTAACCAAATTTACCTAATCTATCTCTACGTATATACCCTAACCTAACCTAACCAAACCTGACCTTAACCTAACCTCTCTCCACTTAACTAATTCTGTCATTTTGCGCCTGGGAATTAATTACTGTGCCACATTAGGAAGTCTTCAGGGAATAAAAGTTTTCTTCACAAGACAGTTTATGAACACACTTAGAGTTTTAAATCAAATGCCATGACTTTGAGGTCAGTATTTTTATTAACTCAAGGATCAACACTAATTAGGTTTGTGTACGGTGAACTATTGATGTAACACTCAGGAGTATTGTGTTTTAATATTTTGGCTTACTGTATATTTATCAGTCGAGTGAAAATTAACAGTGTACAGTAACAGCCGAAATTCCTTGAACACTTGACAATATCTCTCCCCTTCTCGTTCATGAGTCATACGTGTGATTGGTTGTAACTAGTGAATGTTACTTTTCATATGTACTTTATGTTACAGCATGACAATAAGTATACGAAAAATATGATAAAACATGTAAAAATCTCAGAACCCCCCCCCCCTCCTCCCCCCCAAAGCCATCCTCCCCTACCTACATAACCCTCAAGTAGGTGATATTGTCAGAAGGGTCCAGGGAGTTTTGTCTACACCTGTTCATTGAGATATGGAGCATAGTGTGATGACTGATGGTAGCCTAGTGTGATGGTTGTTAACATCAGCATGACAAGGGGTATCAGAGATGAGTGTTGGATAGTATGAAGCAGGTATGGGTAAGATGAGGGATGCCCAGTATGAGGTATAGGATGAGTAAATGTGGTGGTGAGGGGTGATCAGTGATGGGGTAGTATGAGGCAGGAAGAAGTGAGTAATATTATGAGGGAGGATCAGTATGAGGAGACATGTGTAAAGTAGTACTGTATAATGTTTATCACTCCGGCAGATAAGGACGCGGTGAGCCTGCCTGGGCCGTGCGGCAAGGGCTACCATCACCCACCAGCCTCCAACAGCATATCATCAGGTGGCCATCACCCCATGATGACGCCCCATCAATCCCCCCACCACATGATGATGCCCCATCCCGCCCCCCACCACCCCATGTCTGCCCATGGACCCCCACACGACTTCATGGACCACGACGATCACGACCTTATGAGACCCTCCGAGTTCCTCATGAAGGGAATTCAGGAACCTTTCAAGGGGCTCATGAAAATTCTCAACCCGTGGAACATACTGAATCGCTTTACAGGATAGAGACCGCCATATTTTCCACTACACACCGTGCCCACCGCCCTGGCGTCCACTGCTGTTTGAGCTCCTTCCTGGGAGCTCACAAACTCAAATTATTCTCGTCGTTTCGTTACCAATATTTTGTACTTATATCTGTAAGAGTCGTGATTGTAGTGTCTTAGTCATGATGTGTGTGTGTGTGTAAGCGTGGCTTGAAGTGTCAATTGAATTTTGCCGAGTGATTAAAGCATTCAAAGTACAACTGTTAAGAAGTGCAGTGCTGCGGTGCAGCAAACTGCCTGTGTGGTAGTCTGTGTGAAGGCCACTCCTTGTTACCCTACAAGAAGACAACTACACGTAAGAAACTCATGAAAGCAAATATCATATATTACGAGACTCAGGTAGCACTCGAGAAACATATACAAGTGGAAGACATGCATTTAAAACAATTCATATATCATATTACTATTATGGGTGGCTTGATGAAGTTTTGGCAGTGGCTTTTTAATAGTTTACCTGAGTGTTGGTTAAGTGTTAATATATGTATGAGGAGGAACTGGGGGGATACTTTGTAACTTGTCTTCTAGGAAGACTTAATCTCCTCATAACTTATAGTCGGGTAAATCTGTGGTGAATCTTAGCCAGAAAACACGTATTGTGATTTATTCTTCAATAGATCATTGATGAGTGTTAAATCAATTTAACGTAAACAAGCAGACTGACTTTGGGTCCTAGAGTGTTCCAGGCTCGTCTGACATATTTTGTGATACTCATGTGTTCGAGGCAAGACAGATGCACCGCACAGTCACGATGGTTATGTTCTAATGTATAACTTGTCAAGATGGGCCAGGAAATAAAATTTCATGGCTTTGCCACAGATGTAATGTACAATATCCATGCAGTTTGGATAAAGTACTGTATGGTGGGTGATGTACTTGTGCCGGTTAGGGATGGTTCACCGCCTCAAGGTTGTCTGAGAATCACACGAATACTACTGTACATATTCGTCAGCTGATTGCACTGTAAATATTCGTCAGCTAATTGCACTGTAAATGTGCTTGGGGTGGCTCAGAATATTATTATATTAATGTACTATGTTTGTCTGTGCATCATGTTGTTAGTTTGATGCAGTTATATACTGTGTGTAAAGTATAAATGTAGACTGTTGTTTGCGGAACAAGATTCACAATCAGTCATCACAATAGTTTTCATGAAATTTTATACTAAACGTTAGCTGTCATGCCAAGGAATAATCTTCCCTTACACGCTTTCCCTCCTAAAATTGTCTACTGTACTTATATGTGGGTTTACATTTTACCACACTCTAAAATGCTTTTATGAAACGTAAATAAACTGCCAGGGTTCTTAAATATGTACTTTTGTATGTTGCTTCAGCACAATGTACTGTATAGTACTGTTAAGTTCTTTTGCGTCTGCTAGCAGTAAACAAAAATGTTTTCTTGGTTATGTTGAGAGGAGCCATATTTAAAAAGTATTATATTTAATTAGTATACAATAAAGTTTATTTAACTTGACCTTAGAGGTCACTTCGGCAGATATTTTCTGGATAAAAATATTTTCATTTTTAACTCCTGGAGATAATCTAAAGGTGATGTGGCCTCCCTTGACAAATAATACCTGTTATAAGCAAAAGATTAAACATGATTTTTACTGATGTCTTAAAACATTCTTACCTCTTATAGCAAATATTTATGTGTAGTCGCTCTGTAAACATTAGAATAAATTGCGTCAATGGGCAGGTCACCCTGCAGTCTTCCCGGGTCACTATGAGGCTGACCCCCAGGCTAACGGGCCACATTACGATTATTCCAATGGCATTACAAAAATATGAGAAACAATTATGTCGCGAGTATTATCTCTTGATCTTTGTAAGGAATACCCAAATGTATAGTTCATATTACTGTAGTTAACTTCATAACCATTTTCATCCCAAAACAAAAAACCTATAAAAAGTGTAGTTTGATGAGTGTATCTTGTATGTGTTTGACAGTGTGGCGACCTGGAGAGCTACGAGGAGGTCCTCAAAAGACACACAAACAGAAGAGGCTATTTATTGTATTTATAGATACAAGCTTTATATTGTAAGTGATCAACTTTATAAATCAATACAACATATCACTTTACTTTACTTATCCTTTCTTCTTCAACATATTCAGGTGTGTTTCTTTCTTTATGTATTCTTTAGATTGTAAACATTAATCCATCCCACAGTTGCGTGTATATAATGGAAGATCAAGATTCAAAACAGCTTGTGAACGTATGCCTAACGTACAGCCAGGTTGAAGAATTGTGAATCACTGTTATCTAGTTACTGTTATCTTGTCCTTATTGTTATCTCGTTACTGTTGTTATCTAATTACTGTTGTTATCTAGTCACTGTTGTCATCTTGGCTTTGATGTTATCCAGTCACTGTTATCTTGTCATTGCTTGGCATTTTTATCTATATACTGTTGTTATGTAGTCACTTGTTATCCATTCATTGTTGTTACTTAGTTACTGTTGTTATCTTGGCATTGTTGTTATCCAGTCACTTGTTATCTTGCCGTTGTTATCCATTTACTGTTATTATCTTGGCATTGTTTTTATATAGTTACTGTTATTTGGTCATTGTTATCTAGTTACTGTTGTTATACTGACATTGTTTTATCTATAGTCACTTGTTATTTACTTACTGTTGTTAACTAGTCCTGTTATCTAGTTACTGTTGTTCACTAGTCACAGTTGTTATCTAGTTTAATATTATCTAGTCACTAGTTATCTAGTCACAACAATCTGTGTAGCTGGTGATCAGGAAATTTGTTAAAGACATTAACTGATGTACCATTTTCTCTCTCTTTTTTTATTAGTTTCATATTATGTATGATGGCATCAGGTGGGACAGCCTCAAACACAGTGGCTTTCAGGTCAGTCGGATCGGATCAAACGTTGGCGTTAAAATAGCTTCGGGAATTTATAAATTAATTCCCTAGTCAGGACAGTAAATAATTCATTAAAACACTACCCCCCCCCCCCTCCCGGTCTGACAAAACAACGAAAAGAGCATTGGGGAAGAATCACTCGTTATGATAGAAGTTAAAAACTCTAAGAACATCTTCAAGCCGGTATGTGGACACCAGACAGTATTAAGTACAGCCACACTACACGAGTCAGAAAACTCCTAAACAAATTTCAAAGAAATTATTCGTGGGTCTCATAAACATGGCTGCAGATTAGGGACATTGTGAGTACAGTACACTGTATATTAAACCTTCAATACACAGGAAGGCAGTGTAAAGAAACTAAATCTAATACCAAACTCTAGTACAGATGCAACAGCTTTAGCTGAAAGTCAACGACCATATAAGTAGCTTACATAACTCTGATAATTATGTCCAATGCACAGTTAGAAAGAAGAAGCAAATGAACGGCACAAAAACGACAGGGATGTTTCCATTCTCAATTATTCTTCTACAATATACAGGAAGCTATGTGCGCACTCCTTTCTCCTTGTACTCCGGATGTACCGCAAATTCCAAATTACCCAACTGATGTGTACTGAAGATAACATTGACTCCCCGAGAGTCAGTCAGACGAGATTAAGAATAACAACTCCTGACATAATGAAATGTCAGAACACTTATAGAGACTACCTGAAGATAACAATTCCGCTAAATTAAGTGACTAAACTGGGGATTAAACAAAATAATCCTGCACGTCCCCTCGGGTTTACAGTAGAGGATGAGAAAACAGGTGACATTTATTCCTCTGGCATAAAACCCAAGCAAGGAGACAGAACCAAGCCTTCCAGGACACTCATAGTCCAGATCACACGGTAGTGCAAAGGGAAATGCACGAAAAAATCCTGGCACTCTTGAAGCAGAAGGTAGGGATTCTCGCCCCACATGATGCCGCCTACACCAAGGAAGAAATAGTATAAGTATAGTATAGTCCTTGGCCTACACGAGAACAACGAGCTCTCGTTGTCCCGGCCGAGAATTTGCTGACGGAGGCCAACAAGGAAGGCCGCCTAGAATTTGGGTTGCGATACAGTGTGCCGTTTGATTTCTGTAAGAGGGGCAAGGCAGTACTGGAGGACAAAAAATACTAGGTTTGAAGATAAATACATCCAACAACGAGCAGATAGTGGAAGAGTCATTACGTCATTTGGGGCGGGATGTGGGCGTATAGACAGGCAAGGAGAGCTGATAGAAATAGACGGCCGATTAACGGGTGCACATAATGTTAAAATACTAGAGATAGTGCTGCCAACCACTGCTCATGCCATGGCCATTCCTGTGATTAAAATAGTTATTTTGGTTCAGGACAGATGCCCTATTAACACCATCAATGTTGTCAATGATTGATTTCGTGTCCACCCAGATATTGGGGTGTTTGACTGACCGACAAAAGGATTTGATTTGAATCCCATTAAAAAATCTTTGAGTCATATTGTGCAGGAAAAGGAAAGTGGGTGTTAGTAACCGATAAGCAAATGAACAAACAGCACGGAAGGTGTGGGAGAGAGCTCGATGGCGGCGCCCTGAAGTCTTTGTGAACCTGTTCTAATCAATGCCGAGGAGGGTAAACGCTGTGATTGATGTTGGTGAGGGTGGATATCCTATTAATAGAGTGCAAATAAAGTGTCACCTGTCTGAATTGTGTCAGTGGTTTCTATGACATATAAATGGCAATATAAGTACAGTATACAGCTTGCACAGTCTAATTACGCAATAAAGTGACATTACAATTACTGTTGTAGACACTTTGTTCACCAGTCAGATACCTTAAGAAATGAGCTGATTCCCTGTTTGAAGACTGCCCCCCCCCCTCCCCCGCGAGATATGCGAGAGACAGTCAGTTAGTTGATTGAAAACGTCCAAAAGAAGGGCCCCGGACTGGTGTCTGCAGTACGGCACTTCATGTACCCAGGTTCGTTCAGATATCTAGACGGTCCATCCCTCGTAACGATCTTCAGGAGTGAAGTGCTTCCCCATCTGGAGTACTGTCACCCCATCTGGTCCCCGATATATGCTAAGGACTGTCAGTTGGTTGAAAATGTTCAAAGGAGGGCCACTAGACTGGTGCCTGCACTTCGGCACTTCAGCTACCCTGAGAGAGTGGAGCGCTTGAACTTGCCTAGCTTATACTACAGACGGGCAAGGGGGGACCTAGTTGAGGTGTATAAGCACCTCAGGGGGCACTACTCAGTTGAGTGTCGTTACTTGGAACTGGCGGACGCTCGCCCCACAAGGGGTCACAGCTCAAGATTGAAGAAGCCGCAAGTCCAGAAAACCGTGAGGGCAAACTTTTTCGGAGTGAGGGTTGTAAACTCTTGGAACAATCTACCAGAGAGTGTTGTGACGGCACCGAGTGTGAGCTCTTTCAAGACAAGGCTTGACCAACACTGGAGCAGGTTCAGGTACATTCAGGAGCCGGTGCATGCCCAGTATTTGCCAACAGTGCGTGACAGAGACGTGACCGATCGCCCGGGCGGCAAGCGAGCCGATCTTTTGATGAAGAAGATAAAGAAAAAGTAATCAGAGACGTGACCGATCGCCCAAGCGGCTAACAAGCCGATCAGTGGCGAAGAGGATAAAAGTAAAAGTATATATTTTTTCTAGGCATTTCTTTTTATGAAGCGCGCTATTAGCGTCGGTTAGACCCCGGCATGCGGCGCTAGAGAGCCCAATCCTTCCGTGGATGGCTCCCAGTTGAATTAAAAACATCCTGCCTTGGACATCTTGCTAATAGGCAGCTACCATTCCTCAGTAGCTGCGGATAGAAGTCACAACACACACCATGCCTGAGATACGATGAGAGAGCATCAGAAAGTCGAAACTCATATAAATTATCACATACTTCTGGCAAGGAAGACGCATGGCATCGGCACTAACGATGTCTAAGTTATGTCTATATTTTTTGGAGAAACTAGTAGAAAAAGTACTGAAAATTATAACAAAATTAAAGATATAGGGCTCCGAATAGAGGTAAAAGACTAGCAGTTATGTTATGATATTTTCGGTGTTTAGTATGTGATAGAGGTAGTGTTTAGGAAAGCTTAGGCAAGGTTTTCAAAGGTTTGTTGATGTTACTAAAAAAAGAATGGAAAACTACATCAGATTAATGTGTTTTTATTAAAAGAAATTGTAGTTCATCAAACCGAAAAGATCCATTCCTGTCTTTATCATTTATCACTGAAAAATGCGTTTTAAGCTAAAAAAAATATCCCATTCTCTATGATTGATGGTTATAGTTACCCATTATCAGTCACTCATTTACTTTTCCCTATAGCATGTTGTCGGCCTCCAGATCCCTGCTCAGCTCCCTAAGGTGATTATTTCGTGTTAGTTATGCTTGTAGAAGAGAGATTTTGATTAATATGACTTAGTGGGAGAATAGTAGCAGTCATTATTTAATGGCGTTTTCTTTTATGTTGTAAGATAGACCGCTAATTAATTTGTGAATGTGATTAGTTGACATATAACTACGGGTGTTGTCGGGCAGCTGGACACTGTCAGTTATTTGCTGTTGTCAGGAGTCACTTTAATGTTTTCAATAATAGGATATTAGTTGTTAACTTGTAAATTGTCAGAAAGCAGGTGATACGTGTTGCCAGTCTCAGTCAGCTGATAATTGTTGTCAGGAGTAGCTTATCGGGGTGTGTGTTAAGTGGCAAGCCAAGGTTTGAGGACTTTTTCTACCGGTTTACAGGCGTGTCATAGTGTGTGCCACAATTGGTGTTTAAAGAAGTGTTAGATTTATAGAATGCATTGTATTTGTACTATATTACAGATATTGGTCTTAGAGTTGTGGTGTTCGTCTGGTGACCAACTGATAGTGCTGCTTTGAACTGGATTTGTAATATTTTTTTTTTTTTTATTGGGGATTTTTAATAGGACATTTGTTTTAATTTGTAAGTTACAAATCATGGGCACAAGGACAAAAATCAGCTTTGAATATACTGTAGTGTACAGCACTTAACAAGCAACAATAGGCTGTTGCCACTGTACCTTTGATCTTTTTGTGAACTGACATAAGGCTATACTGATAATACTGTACATGTTTAAGTATCACTAAAACACGGGTCCAATTTAACCAACTACCAAAGAAAAATCTTTACTGAAGAAGATTTAGTATAACCTGAATTGATTGCAGGAATAGCAAAATACTAAGTGATATTCCTCCACCTCATTTAATTTGTTATTGGAGTAAGAAAGAACGGTATTAGTGTAATTTAGTTTTGAACGTCCGGGGAATCCTAGGAATTTAGATTAGATATAGTTCATGGGTTCTGTGGCTAGGTTAGGTTAGGTTGGTTAGGTTAGGTTAGGTTAGGTTAGGTTAGGTTAGGTTAGGTTAGGTTGGTTAGGGTAGGTTAGGTTGGTTAGGGTAGGTTAGGTTGGTTAGGGTAGGTTAGGTTAGGTTGGTTAGGGTAGGTTAGGTAATATCAAAATCATTCAAAACGAGTTAAAGCCCATCGGAAAACATAGGGATGACTGAAACTAAAATTTTGCTGAAAGAAGTTTTCTACAGATATTTTTGTTAGGTAGCTGGTTAACTAGGACCACTGTCCTTTAGTGTAACCCGGACCACTGTCCCTCAGTGTAACCTGGACCACTGTCCTTTAGTGTAACCCAGACCACTGTCCTTCAGTGTAACCTGGACCATTGTCCTTTAGTGTTAATCTTATTTAACCTCCCGAGTTTGTCCTTGATTGCCCAGGAGAAGACTGAAGTTACTGGAGAATACTTGCCATTTTTGATCGGTTCACACAGGATAACCCTTCTCACATCCAATGATCCAACCTAGGATTTGATCCCTGGATGCTGTGGTGGGAGGCAAATATACTACAGGTACTACAATACCACTGTACTGTACCACCAACACCCATATCTGGTTTTAGCAAGATGGACCACTGAGCAATGTACTGCCAATTTGAGTACAGTAAGTAAGCTTAGGCACAGAGGCCGATGCTTACTTCTTTTTTCCAAAGTAAATTCAGTTGTTTATTTTTTCAGAGTCACATAAGATAAGTTCATTCCAAAAGCAGTACAGTACGTATTGTATAGTGTACTGTGCTGTATTCAAGTGCAGTAACAAATATTTTCTCCCAAGACTCACTTGACTAATTCACATCAGGTACATTCCTGGCGAGTAATGTAACACATAAACGGACCATTTTTCATCAGCATACCAGGATTAGTGACCAATGGCAGATATAGGTAATTTATCTCTAGTCAGTTGATGTCAAATTGTCAACATTTCAAAGGAACCACCAAACTGACAGCCTGTAGATGTAAGGTGACAGGAGTTATAATCCCACATGAGAAGGGTTACTGCCACTGACTCCAGACTATGGGGGATGGGTGGAAGTTAGGGTAGGTGATTCACCACTCAAAGGAATTAGACATCAGCAAAATCATGGACAAGTTTGCCATCAAGTAACCCAGGTGGATGCTGTCAGCATCATGCTGATATATAAAAGAATAATTTATTTAAGGGCTATTATGCAAGATTTTTATTTTGCCTATTTACCTCACCCATCTGCATTCTTCTTCCAAGTTAAGATAGAGTCTTTCTTTCTCTGGAAGGTAAATGGTCAAAACCTCTTTTTTTAAGGTTAATACAGTACAGTACTGTATTTCAATAAATCTCAATGAAGTAATGCACAGAATTTACTTACCAAATCTTTAAGATAGCAAAATTAAAAAACAATCTTAAATGGATTGCAGTAAGTCAGGTGAGGTCATTGGGATGACGGGTTATCTAATCCAGTAAATTTTCTTGACCAGGAGTCGAGTTCTGCTGTGCTTTGTTACCCCTTGAGGTCAACTGTATTACATACAGTATAACCAAATTTGACTAGTTTTGAATGATTGATGGACAAATTTTGGCTGAGGCAGGTTCGCTTTTTTTTTTAGGGGGGGTGGCTGGTTATTGAGTAACATGTGATATTGATTAAATTTATGGCAATAGTGGAGCAGACTGTTAGCATCACAACACGTTTATACAGTACAGAGTAGACTATTTTGCCTTGATGATCCTTGGTGCAGTTTTATCTGAAAAACTTACCCTGCCTTCCTTAACAGAGGAAGTTGTCGACAACTGGAAGTGAGAATGGCATCGTTAGCATCAGGACAGCGCTACGATCTGGTAGTCTTCGGAGCGACGGGCTTCACCGGGCAATATGTGGTGGAGGAAGTGTCTCGCGTTGCCCAGCAGGAAGGAACAGAGAGAAAAATCCCGCTATCCTGGGCTGTAGCTGGGCGGTCCAAAGACAAACTGATGAAGACCCTGGCAGCGGCAACCAAAGAAACTGGTAAGAGGCTTTAATGATGCTCCTCATCCTCCTTACTGTACTATGCTTGATGTGTGGAGTTAGTGTACAGTATTTTGTATAAATTTATTGCTTATGTGTCCATTATTATTCAGTAGTAAGAGTGGGGATAATAAGAGGCATGATATGGGCAGACATACATAGTCCTCAAGTCCTCTTTTCAAACTGGAAGTTCATTGAAGTTTAATATTTTCCTTGTAAGAAGAACTCGGTTTGCTTTCAAAGTTTTGTACAGTACAGTAAACTGTATAATATTGCCTCCTTATTTTTTTACCTTGAGGGGTGAGGAGGGGAGAAGTATTGGAGTTGCTTGATCTTTTGTACCTAATGTTGGTCTAAATGAACATAAACTACCTTTACTCTTGAACGATGTAATTGTGATCACATTACCTTTTGATCAACCAAGGTGAGGGTGTAGGTTCTTAAGATTGCTTTTCATATTTGCACAGGTTTGAACTTGGAGGAAGTGGGAGTAATTCTGGCTGATACATCTGACCAAGAGTCCCTCAATAAGATGGCCTCTCAGTCCAATGTCGTGATAAATTGTGTGGGACCAGTAAGTATATAAGACTCTTGGGTGTTTCAGTATACAGAACAGTATTGTAATTAGTTTTATTGGAAGGTTCTGATTTGCGAGTGATGTTTATTCCTGATAAATGCTCATTTGATGAATGCTCGTTCAGTGGGTCCAATTTTCCTGCAGGATCCCATGTTAAAAGATGAGATGTGTTTCAGCTTTAAAAGAAGTCAAAATACAGTACAGGTACCATTTTATATATATATATATATATATATATATATATATATATATATATATATATATATATATATATATATATATATATATATATATATATATATATATATATATATATATATATATATATATATATATATATATATATATATATATATATATATATATATATATATATATATATATATATATATATATATATATATATATATATATATATATATATATATATATATATATATATATATATATATATATATATATATATATATATATATATATATATATATATATATATATCACACACACACATATACAGGCAGTCCCCGAGTTACGACCGTCTGACTTACCATCATCCGCACTTATGAACGGGATCCCAATACAGTCACTGCAATTTTTTTAATTAAAATCCCAATTTTTTCATTATTTTATCATTACAGTATATATTGTTTAACATCACTTTATTTACAATATTTTTTATAAATGGGATATTATTGTTGTTTTGTATGGGCTTTAACCTAACCTAAACTATGGGTCCAGGAACTTATCCCTGTATAGTATTGATAAAATCAGACAGGGAAAAGGGAAACAATGGAGAACCTTAGCTTTCGTCTTTATTCAAGACATCTTCAGAGGCAACTGAATTACAAAGACTGAGAGAGAGCTTTTGTACGCAGGGTGACCTTACAAAACATGAGGTCAGGTAAACTAACATGACATCCACTAATCCGCACACCAACCACACAGCAAACATAAGAAGAGATTATAAGAACGGGCGACATAACTAGTCATGTCACGTCAGGTAAAAAATATAAGACCCACTATTCATCTATCATACATCTACCTTACATGTTTTCAAAGCATTTTTAACCTTGGGCCTCTGCCAAATAAATTTGTGTAACATATTATCAGTTTTTTCTGACCATCACTAAGGTTTAAAGAATACATTTCTCTAATCAAACTTGATTCAACTTATCGCAATGAATTTGTCCCGTTAGTTCAGTCCCTTAAATTTTTAAACAATGTTGTTTTTAAGTATGACTCAACTATTATTAATATATGTTTTAAAGTATGACTCAACTATTATTAATATATTAATTAAGAATAGCCCAACCTTGAATGTAAATGGAAGTGTTTACTGTATTCCATGTAGCAATTGTAATGGAAATTATGTAGGGACAGACTGGGAAAGCATTGCAACTCAGAATTAAACAGCACAAGTATACAATATTAGAACGGCATCTGAAAGCAGTGCACTTTTCGTTCATATAAGGAACAATAATCATCCTATAGATTGGGAAAACAGTTTAGAAGTGTTTAAGTCATCATGTGTCACAGAAAGACACAGAAATTCCAGAATGAGAGGCGGTGGATAGGTGAGATGTGAGGTGGGTGAGATGTAGAGGGTATTGTACAGTATTGCTCTGTTCTGGGTGAGGTGAATCTGTCTTCATCACTGAATATGTGTACGTAACTGTAATCACTTATTACATGTAAACACTATTTTAATGCTGCTTTGACAGTATTCTTGGCTGATTGTATCCTGGTACAGTAATGTGCAGTACTGTACTGCACAACACAGATCGTATGCAAAAGCAGTAGTGAGTGAACAAGCTTGTACACTTGGTAAAAAAGTATCATTCAGGACGGGTCCAATGAATGATAAAACTGAACAATCCTGTTGTTTCACTGGGGATGGTAGGCTTGATTGTGAGACATTTCCTACCTATTATGGTTGGCCTAATTTAGTTATTTCATTCAAAATATAAAATTAGTTTGATGCATTATGATTGGTGAATAACAGTATGCCTCATGAGCCTTCATCAAAAATCTTCATTCGTGGTGTCATTTTGTTAAGCACAAGAATTGTAAAGATACTTTTTTTACCGAGTGTACAAGCTGCATCCCATGCCAATTTATAATACAATCTCTCAGAAATTTATTTGAATCCCCTGAGCAGAGAGATTTTTCTCGGAATGCTAAAATTTTATTTACCTGGTAATGGAAAGCTCTGTGATTGAAGATTCCAGCTAATGGGGTTATTACTGTACAGTACTGTAGTATATAGTTATTTTAATAGCAAAATATGGTTCCTAAACTATATTATTTTATTTTGTGAGAGCCTTCCTTATTTTCTGCGTCTTCCAAATTTTCGGAGACTTCCTTATTTTATGAGAGTTCCTCATTATTTTAGGGATTTCCTTTATTTTTTAAACTTCCTTCTTTTCTGAGGGGCTTCTTTATTTTCAGACTTAACTCAAATTCCTTTGTAAATCTACACACAGGACATGTTGGACTATGAACTTGTCTCATGACTGACGCAATTGTTTTATTCTTGGCAGTATCAGCTGTACGGTGAGCCGGTGGTGCGGGCTTGTGTGGAAGCTGGAGCCAATCATGTGGACATCTCTGGTGAACCACAGGTAAGGTTCACAGTACAATTAGTAATTATTTCCTTGTGACCATTTACATATTGATATCAATTGTTTTAGTTTAACATTTCTGAAATACAGTATAGAATGTGATAATAATCTCATTGAGAACATTAGGTAGGATGTATTGTAGCTGAAAGCTCTACTCCTTCCTCCCAGTTTTTTAAACAGGCTCTCCCAAGGAAATAAACAGTATGAATTCCTTGTTTCCATTTTGAGGGCCCATTAACATGACCAGTACACACCCTCTATCACTTCTGTTGGCATAACAGATCTATAAGTCACATAAATATACCTTTTATGTTTGGTTTATTTATTTTATTTTATTAATTTTTTTTTTTTTTTTTGCATACCTACAGTCAAGAGTTATCTTCAGTGTGGTGTAGCTCCACAATCAGAACAAATAGCTTCATGTTAGTCACACAAGAGCTCTGTTAGTTGTGTCTTTCTAACTTCCAGAATTACCAACTAGCACACAGGATTGTGTGCAGCTTACAGTATAGTACAGGACAATACTATACGGAATTATTATTGTAATTACAGCCACTCCTCGACTTACGACCACCCGGACGTACGACCGCCCCAGTCGTACCAAAAAAAATTTCAAATTATGTATTTTCAAGTCCCGACGTTAGTGATTGCGCTGTGTACTGACAAAATTTTTGTTTGCAATTCACTTTAAAATGGCTGGCAAGCTTAAAAGTGAGAGTTTTGTGGTGCTGAGAAGAAAAGAGACACCCATTTTAGATTTTCTATGTATTATTTTTGCATTTCGACTTGCGACCAATTCGACTTACTACGTGGATTTGGGTCCCTAACCCGGTCGTAAGTCGAGGAGTGGCTGTATATGCAATCTCGGTAACAGATATCCTAGTTCTAAGTAATGTGCTAAATTTTCAGTAATTTATTTCATCTTGTGGTTCAAATTAAAGGATTGTTAATACTTCATGATTAGTTTAGTTGAGAATAAGATATACAGTAGTACTATATTATGAAAATGATGTAAATTTATAGTTCTTGGAGAGAATGCAGTTGAAATACAATAAGGCAGCAGAAGAAGCAGGAGTTCACATTGTTGGTGCTTGTGGCTATGACTCCATTCCCGCAGAAATGGGACTAGTACACATGGCCAAGAACTTCAAAGGTATGGCTGCCAACTTTTATTACGTTGTGTCACAGCTTATTTCTTATATACTGTAATTCACTCATGATACACTATAATCCTAATACAGTACCGTACGTACCTGGCCTACTTAACACTTGCTACACTAAACCCTTGATAACTCTTCCTACTATAGGCTCTCTGGTCTTGCCAATATACTGTACTGTATTTGGCAGACTAACTCAAATTTCAGATTTTTGCATATATTTTGGCAAAATGCTGAAATTCACCTCAATTTATCAGGAAACATGGAGATAAAAAAAACTGTGAGGTGTCTAAGTACAGAGTTTTGTGGCTTAATATAATTCATTTAGTATTCCTATATTTCATTCATCTTAATCTATTTCATAATATTTTACTGTAATAATATTATAGATTATTGTTTATTGTATGATTTGACTCGATAAATCTGTCATGTTCTTTGATACTATTTCTTCTGGTACATTTAGTATTAAACATAACATGTATGATAATATAACTTAATAAATCTACCTATCTAAACTCAAAAATCAATACGTTATCAGAATTAAAGGTAATGTCCAGTAATTACAAGATTTGACCTTAGGGTTGTGTGGTTGACCACCTTACATTTCATATTCTGCTGTCACCTGTACAGCCACACTACAGACTAGTTAGCTGTTCTGTCCACAACCACTCACACTTTAATGTAATAGATGACTTTATAAAGGTTTGCTTGACAAATTAACATTAGGCACACACACATCATTTTTATCATCTACTGTATTAAGTTTTTAATTTTAATTTCACTATTTTATTGAGTTATTTGGTAGATATAAGTAGGTACTGCACTGTAATGCAAAAAAAAAAAAATGTGGCAACTTTGTAGTGGGCTGCCGCCGGCCAGCTGCACGGACTGTAGTTGGAGAAATTTACTTTACTTATACATAAATATTTATGGCACTTGATGCAGCTACTGAATTTGGGTACTTTAATACTTGCAAGCATGAAAACAATATATTCTTGTCCGGTATTTATTATAAATACAGGAGTACCAAAATTCCAAGTGTATCAAGTGCCATTGTACAGGTATTTGTAAGCAGGATAATTGGGCAACATATTAACACCACCACTCCACACCCTTGACAGATAGACATTTATTGAGTTATATGCCTGAAAGGTATTATAGTTAGCCACTAAACAAGCAGGAATAGAATGATAGTGGTGGTAATACACAACCACAATTCTTACATATAGTTGTGGTAGCTCATATAAATTTTTTTCTCTGGGAGGGGGGGGGGCATGCTTAGGGCTTAACAGCGCAAGTGAACCGCCCCCAAAGCACGGTTAAACGATCATAGTCACTTCGGACTATGTTGGCACATAGCTGATTAAATCCCTTATTATTCCAGAACCAGATACAACAGACCTATGGCTTTAACAGACCGGCTTTCCCCAATTGGTCTGTTTTATCTGGGGTTTACTGTACTTGTAATCATAAAATCCCTCAGTGGTAAACTTGTTCCTGGCAGCATGACCAGAGTTACCTTCAATAAGAGTGTCTCACACAGTCAACCAACCATCATAGTTCTTAAAATAAAATTTTTAGTATATAAGATACATGGCCATTTTTAGGGGGAAAATATATCTGATAGTACACTGGTAAAAATGGTCCAGACTGTACAGTATACTGATTTGAATTGATGAAAAAAAAATGCAATTTAAATTGCTTATATCTAACCAGCAATCAGTTCAGCTACACCTGTCCATCACTCCCTCCTCTCTGTAAAAGGAGGTGTGCATGCACATGTACCAATGTCTCTGCAAGAGGAGGAGGAGGAGGTACACCTAGAATATTTGCTAGTGTTATCAGTAGAAAGGAGGTATGAGTAGCTTCTGTGCCAGTGCCCTTTCCTCTGCAAGGGGAGGGCTTGGAACAAGTACTGTACAGATTAAAAAATATTCACTTATACTTCCCCCATTTAACTTCGCAACATATCAACACATTTCACTTAGTGGCCTAATGTGGACAAAGGTACTTGACCTAACACACCCAGAGCATCACTTCATACTCACCTGCCCTCCTTAGCTGTAGACCAACCCAGACCTCATGCTACGTGGTCATTTTTTTCTGCATTTCATTGTGATGCTACTCTAGTTACTGCACACACCACCCATGCATCTTGTCCCAGGCAATGGGCAGCCTCACCGAACTCCCTGACCTCTCCATTACAACTGATTACCTGCCTTTGCTGTAGTATTGTATGCAGGAGGTAAAAATTGTTCTGATACAATTTATTAATGGGCCACAAAGTAGTGGTCATGATATTTTGGGGAACTACTCTTTCTTACTTTGCCCTTTGATCAGTTCTCTCTTATGCCTTTTACAAATCCATAGATGTCATGAACAAATTCTTATGTTTTTCCATAACCCATAGTGTAAACACCTGACCCACTTGTCTTCCATTTCTCCTTGTGTGATCCTATTTTCTTTTACAGGAGAACTTAATTCTGCAGAAATGTTTGTTACCGTCAAAGGTAAGGTAAGTAACCACTACGTACTTAAATTATTACTTTCTACTTGATTTACAGTATTTCCATCACCTTTCCTCCTTATCTGGTGTAAATCCTTTGCTGACTGGAGATATATTTAGTGAATGGACAATCATGGACCTTTGGCCTTATCTGCCTCCTTTGTTAAGGCATTAAATAGAATACATTTTAACCCTCTCATGCATTATGATGCAAATTGCATCAAATCATTGGGTAGCACTATTTGTATCAGTGATGCAAATGTGTCATTTAACTTTAATAAATTCACCAAAAAGTTGTATCAAATTTTCTGCATGAGAATGAGATCAATAATAAATTGTTGTGATGTGAGGAGCTACCCCTTCCCTCTTAGAGAAACTTTTTGGACTGGGTTATAGAACACTGAATATTTATGAATATTTTAGTAATTTGTTGTTTGATGAGTTATCTTGTTCCCCTACAGGGTGCAGTTCACACAGGCACCTTGGAGTCGGCAGCCCTTGCCGTTGCAAATCAGAATGAGATTGCAAGAATCCGGCAAGAGCTTTTTTCAGAATCATTGCCAAAACCCAAACATAAGATTACGAAGAAGTAAGTAATATTAATCTCAGATGTAATAATTTTACATATGTTATGAATAGTAGAGTTAAAGTATGAAGGAACTAGACTGGTAGATCAGAAATATGGAAAGGACTGACATATAGGTACTGTACTGTGCCTGTAAAGGTTATCTGCTATTGCTGAATGGCAGGATACATTCTCACTGCATCACCATTTGGTTGTCAAACACAGTTTCTCTTACACCACATTTTCCCTATAGGTAATGCCACTTTCTTCACCAATTGTTTTAGCTGTTGATGTTGAGTCTTAAGTACAAAAAAGTGTTGATATCATCTGTGATGTAAATGTTGAAGAAAGCTTTCATAAGTGGCTCTACCTCAAGTGTGCAGAAATAAGATGTAAAGCTGCACATTGTGTAATTATCTGGGAAAAAGTTACACTCAGATTTGTTACAATTTTATTAGAATATTTACTGAATTTAGATAGTTCTCTAATTTTAGATATTCCAACATTCTTTATTCTTTTATCCTTTACCAATTAACTTGGTAGCCAACAAGATATCGGGGGATACCTACCGGTATGTTTATGTATCATGGTACAGTAAAATATCTGTGTATCATGGTTCAGCAAAGTATCAGGGGTAGATCCCAGAATATCAAGGGGGGGGGGAAGGGGGTCCAAGAAGTTGTGGGTGGAGGAACATGGCGAGCATAGCTAGCCCACCCAGCTGGGGGATTTTTTTTGGGGGGGTGGGGGGCTGTAAGCATCCTCCCCTTTCAGATTTATTTATTTATTATTATTATTATTTTATTTATTTTTTTTAATCTGACCAATGTCATAGGCATTCTGAGGCCATGTGCACTTGATATTAGGAGATATTCTGAGATGAATATTAATTACTTTTTACTACACCAAAATGCCTTAGTACAATACTGCATTAAAGAAAAGGTTTTGAAATATTCTGATGAAAAGGTGGGGGTTATAGACCCCCAAGACCCCTCCTGGATCTGCCCCTGAGTATCTGTGTTTCATGGCTCAGTAAAGTACAGTACTGTACTGTATCTATTTATCTTGATAGACTCATCACTCACACCACCACACACACAGTCACTCAGCCAGTTGCCTGATTATCTAATTTCTCCTTATTTACTCATCATGTAATATGTGGAAGTTTAGAAGAGTAAATGAAAATTATAATGTATTCTGTACAAAATAGGTGTAGAATTGTAAGAGAAAGTGTGGAATTTGAAAGCAAAGAAAAGTTTGGAGGAGTGGAGACCAACAACACACGAGACATGAGGCAGTAATTCACCAGGGGCCAAACGTGGGCAAACACAGAATGGGAATTTAAACAGCTCTAATCTTTCATAAAGTAGATTATTTCATGAAATATATTTTGTTGTACAATATTCTGAAGTGAAAATCCACATTGTATTTTTTATTTTCGTTTTTTGATTTGTAAATTTTAAATTAACAAGAATTTACACTAAACTTTTCACTGTTACCGGGTTTTATTATTATTAATACTTTTATTATTAAAGTTATTAATATTAATGTTATATTATATTTATCCTTTGTATTCCAGAGGGGCTCTTCACAAGAATGATAAGTTAGGACTGTGGGGAGTGCCTTTACCCACAGACGAGCCAGTGGTGTATCGAACACAGAGATACTGGTATGATGTGCTCAAAAAACGCCCCATCCAGTTTCAACAGTTCATTGGTATCCGTAGTTTCTTCCAAGGTGTTGGAACATTGTTGGGCTTGGCTTACTTTGCACTACTGTGTTATTTCTCCTGGACCAGGCATCTTCTTCTCAAGGTACACTAGTATAGTAGAATGAAAATTAACAACTTTTTTTTTATAACTTTTTAAATACTGTACTCTAATTTATCAATATTAAATTAATTTTTTTTAAGGCATGAATCAATCTTTTGTGAAGCTTTAGTGTCGTAGGGTTAGGTATGATGGAGCAGGCTATGGAAAAACTCTCCTTGAGAAGATGGTTGTAGGCTGACATTAGTAGGATGTATCAACTGAATTACTATTTGAGAGACAAGTTTGACAGAGCAGACCCTTTATTGTTACAATGAAGAGAATCCCAAAAAGAAGATGGCTACAAGAAATAGATAAAATTGTATGTGAAGAACTTAAGCTAGAGAAATAAAAAGCCATTCAAAATTATGTGGATGAGAGGTGTCATCTGAAGAGTATGTGGATGAATTAGGTGTCAGAAGAGGAGTACTGTATGTGGATGAGAGAAGTATCAGAGGAGGAGTATGTGGATGAGAGGTGTCAGAGGAGGAGTATGTGGATGAGAGAGGTGTCAGGGGAGGAGTATGTGAGTATGTGGATGAAAGGTGTCAAATAAGGAGTATGTGGATGAGAGGTGTCAAATAAGGAGTATGTGGATGAGAGAGGTGTCAGGGGAAAAAATTTAAGCACAGATGTGGAATGTTCCCTTATCGGCAGGTAGCTATCGGACTGCTGAGTAACAAAAGACTAGCTTGATCCTTCATAAGATACATTATTAGGATATAGGTTGCAGCTTTATATTACACAGTACCTACTAACCATGAGTGACTTTGACCATAGTACCCAGAGGTGCTGACTGCCGGTATGTTCAGACGTGCTGGCGCTGACCGAGAGGAACTGAGGCGAATGAAGTTCACTGCCACATTGATTGGTCATGGATGGTCACAGCCCCTGGCAGAGGGATGTGACCAGCATGTAGAAGCTCCAGATTCTTCCATTGTTGTTAAGGTAGTGTGAGACCTCTCAGGTGTGTTCGTTTTACAAGTTCACAAGTCTCTCATAATACAGTGAACCCTCGAAGATCCGGACTAAAGGGGGGGGGCCACCAGTCCAGAAAACTGGCAAATAATAAATGATATAAGGAACACCAAAAATACAGTACTAATGTAGTGATAAACAAATTACCATATATAAACCATGCATTTACCTATGGTAACATAATAAGAAACATTGTATCATAACTAGAGTGAATGAAATAATATTCCCACAAACAACAATTCTCAACTCTGTTTATGTTTCCTCCTCCTCGGGCACATGTGTCCAAGCAACTGACGGGTCAAGCAGCACCCACAGGCCTAAAATGTTCTTTGCTCTGGTTTGGGAATGCTTCTTAGGGAAACTTCTAGAAGGCTTCCTAGCCCAGAACTCCCAAATTTTTTGTCCGGATCTTCCGAAATCCGGATTTCCCGGGTCCAGGTCTTCGGGGAGTTTACTGTACTATACTGTAGTACCTGATTTATTATGATTGATGGATATGAAATGACACAATAAAAAAATTAGTAAATTAAAAAATTTAAGTTGAGTCATCAGCTTATTGAGGTAAATTGATGGCTTTAGTCTAAGTTAGAAGGGAGAGTCAAATATCGTATCATAATGTATGATATTGTTTATTCAATTTGCACAGTACAATATTTGATTTGAATACTTGCAGGTAACTGGGCCAGATCCTGGGTATGGAGCCACATCCCTGATGCTAGTCTCATCTGCCATGAGCATACTGCGGGAAAAGAACCTCTGCACCGGCAAGTAAGTCATCATTTTGTAATCCAGTTGACTCTAGTTTTTCTTGAATGCACTACCATAAGTATTCTTCCTCTGACTTAGCTTGGTGGTCCATGAAGTATAAAACAGCTTTGCAATTTAAGAAATTATTTAAAGAATGTTTGGTTGTAGAAAAAAAAAAACTATGAAAACTTTTGACAATATTTGACATCTACAAAAGGGTCATGTAAGCAAGGTTATTCATATTTTCAACATTTTTCCCTTTTTTTTTATGTAGTAGAGGGTGTTTTTGTTACCCTGAAGCAATTTATAACAAAAAGCAACATTCACCAACTTTAAACCAAATACATATTTGGCCCACAAGTAGTTGTCAGATGTTCCCAGGAGTCTAGGTAATTTGGGTTACAACTGTATATGTGAATAAAGTAAGTGGGATTAAGAATAGTGGAAGATCTAAGATAAGATGGAGAGACATGTAAGGAAGGGCACTTGTGACAAATAGGTGACTTAATGAAGAAGTGTAGAATTGTACTGAGAATGTGGAGTGTGTGGGAAGTTGGGTTAAGATAATCACTGGTGTACAAGAGATGAGTTTTAGAATATAAATGGCAAGTAAGTTTGGTTCTCTCTTAGAAAGGTCACAAAATTATCCATATCAAGTCTAGTTAATTTCCTCTTGATTAAATGAATAAACTAAAAATATAAAGAATAAGTGTGTGTGAATGTAAAAGAAAGGTAAATGTGAAAGAGTTTAAGATTTGCCTGTAATCACTGGTACTGATGACTTAGTGCTGATAGCAGATAATATTGAAGAGTAGTGGTGAAATTTATGAAATGGTAGGATGGAATGGAGTCAAATGATATAAGTGTAAATTTGGCAAACAAAAGTACTATGTAATAATTTGTGGCATGGGTGAAAGGTCTGTGGTGGAAAGTGGTCATGCTCTGACCGTTAAGCTGCAGTCACACAAGACTTTTCCGTGCAATAAATCCACGACAGCATTTCATCCACAGGCAATAAGTCAGCGATACGATCCGCACACTGGTCACACTGGTGAAAGGAACCATCGGCCAGGCGCCCAGCTCGCGCGGCTAGTTTGAGCCCGGTTGGAGAGCAGGATGGCTTCATTTTATGTTTTTATGGCAGCATTTACTGCTTTAGTGAGATGTGTGGTCCTGTTAAAGAAGACCAAGACAAAAAAAACCGTTTGTGGGTATGCTATTGGTTAACAAAGGCAAAATTTGAAGAATTACTGCCCCAACGAATACTAGCAGTATCCATCTTGGAAATTTGGTGTGTGTTTGTAGTGTACAAGCGATGTTTGTTTACAAAAGTGACACAAGTACTCTAGAGTCAAATTAAATTCCTGTCGTGATGTATTCTTATTATTTTTTTTTTATTTACTACGACAGTTTTGCTCGTGTTTTGTTATTGAAAACACCTTTTATAATTTTGGTACCTTTTAACATTAATAAGAAAAAAGAAGAACGATGCAAATTTTATTAACTCAAAGAGACTCCCTATGGCAAATTTCAACCCACGGGACCAATGATTTTCAGCCACTCCGTATCGTCCTACTTTTGACAAAAAATAAGTTGTCACTGTAGAGACAACTTGAGGAGTTATTGAAAAATTAATGCTACAGTGGATTTATTCTGGGTAGAAAGTCTAGTGTGACCGCAGCTTAAGAAAGGTGTTGGCAGCAACTGAATAATGTGTGGAACTTTTGAAGGAGGGTACACATGAGGTGCAGTGGTATAAATGGCTGACCACAGAGTGTTGCTGACTTTAAGTGTCTGCATGTGCAGGTAACCATAACCATGTGGCCTTCACATGACTAGTGGTGAAACTTAACATTGGGGAAACGTTTTATCCCTGGAATGTGTGGAGGAATTTTGCTACTAGGTGTGTGAGTGTGTGTGTGTGTGTGTGTGGGGGGGGAGCATTACTGTGTTAAGTGTGCGGGTGTGCTCTCAGGCAAGGTTACTAATATGATGGAAATAACCCTCCATATAAATATCCTAAGTATTTGTTTCTTCCCCTTGTGTCTCACCACTCTCCCTCTACCCATCTTCTCCTTCCTTCCCTTTTATCCCCTCCTTCTTCACCTCCCTCCTTCTACCCATCATCTCATTCCTTCCCTTTTATCCCCTCCTTCTTCACCTCCCTCCCTCTACCTTTCACCTTCCTCTCTCTTGCCCCACACCTCCCTACCTCTACCCCTCCCTCCCACCTTCCTCTCCCCTTCTACCCTTGATCTCTCTCCCTCTTCCACCTTCTACCCCTCACCTCTTCCTCTCCTTTAACCCTTCACTTCCTCCCATTTACCCCTCACTCCTTGTCCTTCCCCCCCTCACTCCCTCTCCTTCCTCTCCCCTCCCCTCTCCTTCCTCTCCCTCCCTCTCCTTCCTCTCTCCCTCTCCTTCCCTCTTCCTCCTTCCCACCTCCCTCCTCCCCACCCCCTCACCTCCCTCCCTCTCCCCTACCCCTCACCTACCTCCCTCCCTCCCCTCTACCTCCTCTCCCTCACCTTTCTCCCTCCTCCTACCCATCACCTCCCTCCTACCCATCACCTCCCTCTCCCCCTACCCCTCACCTACCTCCCTCTCTTCCTCTCCTCACCTTTCTCCCTCCTCCTACCCATCACCTCCCTCCTCCCTCTCCTTCCTTATACCCCTTCCTCCCTCCCTCCTTCTACCCCACCCCTCACCTCCCCCCTTTACCCCACCTCCCTCCTTCTACCCTTCTATCTCTCCCTGTTTTAAAAACAGTTTAGGTCATGGTATTAGTGAGTGCTCAAGGGTTGGTTGATAGTCTGGCTTAGGGGTGTTGGCTGTTAAAACTCCACAGTGTCAGTGAGTTGGACAAGTGAGTGCTAATCCCTCAGGTTCCCTCTAGATATTTATCAACTTTGTCTTCTGCAGAGGAGGAGTCATGACGCCAGGAGCTGCATTTGCCAACACCAAGCTTATTGAACTCATGGTTGATCGTGGCATGACTTTCACAGCCCTGCCAGAGTGATGACCATTGATTATTGTACTCAAGAGTGGCCTTCCTTGTGTATCTTATATTTTATGGAAGTCAGACATATACCATAGCACAAAGGAGGGAATATTGTATATATATGTCTGGGAGCAGAAGTTTTACCTATTTACTTACACATCTGTTAAGAAAGAAAGTGTTTTACTTGTTTGTTATTAAAACTTATGTATATCACTAGTGAAGTTTATTAACCGCTTAAAGACTTTGATACTTGTTGAGAGATAGATTTATCTACTGGTCTTACACTTCAATGATTATTATAGCGATTAGCAGACTCTTGCGACTTCATGTAGATCCAACCAGCCTCTCTTGGCCCTATCATTCTAACATAATCCCAAGGAACCTCCTCTGCCCCTAGCAGCCTCCTCAGCCCCTAGCAGCCTCCTTAGCCCCTAATAGTCACCTCAGTCCCTAGCAGCCTCACCATCCCCTAGCAGCCTCCACAGTCCTTAGCAGCTTTCTTAGCCCTTTGCCACTTCACACAGCCCCTAATAGCATCTCACAGCTTCTAGCAGCCTCACATTGCCCCTAGTAGCCATTTCAGCCCCAAGCAGCCTGCTCAGTCCCAAGTAGCCCCCTGAACCCCTAGCATCTTCAGCCCATAGCCTCTTGAATGTCCAGCTGTCTCCTCAGCCCATAGTAGCATATGGTAGGAGAGGGGGATGACCAAGGAAATGGGTGGATGGTAGGAGGGAGGTGACCAAGAAGATGGGTGGGTGGTGAGGGGGGAATGACCAAGGAGATGGGAAGCCATGAAGAAATTAGGTTTTAAGGGAGTTCAATATCCTTATAATCCTTCCTTTATAACCCTTGTTCTACTGTAATGGCTGTCTAAACAAAAATGCAGAGGCTTCTGCACTGAGTTATAGATAATGACATCCATATATATATATATATGAATGATTACCCTAAAAACAGTATGCTCTCATGTTTTAATCAGGGTAATCATTTATGGACACACATATATATATATATATATATATATATATATATATATATATATATATATATATATATATATATATATATATATATATATATATATATGCAAGTAAATCACTGTAGGTGCACGTGATCCAGGTATATGCTGATAACCACAAGGAAAGAAGAAAACACGAAGTTCCCAAGCGCTTTCGTGTAATTCACATCTTCAGGGGTGAGTACAGACTAAAGAGGAGTACAAAACAAGGTGTATATATACAGAGGAGGGTGAGACCAGGTCCACCATTTCACAAAAATTTCTCACACATTCCTTTACAACTAAAAACCTGGAACGTCAATGTGGCATTTAAAATTTCATGCACTGTTAAACAAATGTTAATCAAGAACTCCCCCCAACAACACAATTGGTTGCATTTATAAAGTTCCTTGCAAGGAATGTAATATGTTTTACTTTGGCCAGACAGGTAAAGATCTTGTAACTAGACTTAAGCAACATAAATGCAATGTTAGGACAGGCCAGGAATCCAATGCTCTGTTTGTTCATTTGAGGGATAACAAGCATTGCATTGACTGGGATAATGCCTCCTCAATATTACCTTGTAATTCAATTGATAGTAGGAACATCATAGAATCTAGTCTCATTAAACATACCGAAGCCTTCAACATGAATTTGAGTAATGGCATGTACAAACTGGACAATTTTGTAATTAAGAAGATTTGTAACCAGGTGAGAAGGTTGGGTCACCTTACCCTCTGACCTGACTACCCACCGTTGCCGTGCTATTTAAAGATTAGTAGGGTCATTACCTAATACCTGACCATTGTGGACCTGGTCTCACCCTCCTCTGTATATATACACCTTGATTTGTACTCCTCATTAGTCTGTACTCACCCCTGAAGATGTGAATTACACGAAAGCGCTTGGGAATTTCGTGTTTTCTTCTTTCCTTGTGGTTATCAGCATATACCTAGATCACGCGCACCTACAGTGATTTACTTATATATATATATATATATATATATATATATATATATATATATATATATATATATATATATTACTTGCACTCATTTCTAATGATACACTCCGCCCCCACAAGGAAAAATGCCAAAAATATTCCTTCACAACCAATTAATAAACTCGTAAGTATTAAAACAAGGAGCTTTCATAAGACATACTTTATTGGCAAGTATTTTGTAATTGTAAGGAAAGGAATTATGTTTAAAGTGTAAGTAATAATGTACTTTATGGATGTTGTCTATAGCGCTGTACGGGAGTCTCTGCGCTCTTGTTCAGACCCATCAGTCGAAGGACCACGTGAGAACCATAACAACAACACATGGAACAAGCTTAGCAACTTTGTAGTAAGTGCTGGAACGCTGGAACGTTTTAAAATGAGGCTATATAGATTCATGGATGATAGAGAGTGGTAGTAACTCGACAAGAGCTGCCATGCACAGGCCAACTGCAGACTCCTTATCTTATGTCAACACATGCTGGGTGACCGACCTGCGTGGCTAGGATGTTCCTGTTGTAAGCGGGGAGGTAGAAACTTGGTTAAATTCAGTAGTAATAAAACAGGTTAAATTCAAATGTAATAACACTGTATTTACCAATTACACTTTCCAAAATAGATGGTCTCTACCAATCACATTAAGGACGCAGTCATTCTACCAAATTCGGTAATTGTAAGGAATAACCCATGAGCGAAATTGATTGAAAACAATTATAAAAACGCCGGATTTTCATAGTTATATTTTAGTGGACACTGCTGTAGTTTGTGGAAATATGTAAAAATATTGATATATTTAAAATAAACACTACTTAACATATTGTGGCTGTGAAGAACAGACCTAACCAACCAAAGCAAACAAACCTACCTAACCTTACCTAACTTCCCCTGTATATTAAACAGAAAGAACTGACTATGATATGGTAAAATTTGAGGCATTTTCTGGACGTGAGATGATACGGCCGCATCGGCACTATGGGGTCCGACTTATTACCCAATTGTACCCAAATGTAGCCGCAATGAAGTCAAATGATGGTCCTACAAGCGTAAATCGGGCTGTGAATCACTTCTCGATTATTATTTGGTGTCATAAAGTCACAAAAAATTGGTAAACTTAATTTAATCTGAGTTGTGTTAGGTTAGGTACATGCACTCGATCTATTAACTCAGATAAAATTAAGTTTACCAATTTTTTGTGACTTCGTGACACCAAATACCAGTCGAGAAGTGATTGGCAGTCCGATTTATTCAAATGTAGTACCCATATTCAAAAAGGGAGACAGAGCATCAGTGTCAAATTACCGGCCGATCAGTTTGACGTCAGTAGTGGGGAAATTTCTTGAATCAATTATAGCAGATAGCATCCGATCGCATCTAGAGAAAAGCAAATTAATCTACGACTCTCAACATGGGTTTACAAAGGGAAAATCTTGCCTAACAAATCTGACTTTTTTAGGAAAGTCTTCGAGGTAGTAGATAATGACGAAAATTACGATGTTATTTACTTAGACTTTAGCAAAGCATTTGACAGAGTACTGCATCAGAGGCTTCTGAGAAAAACTAAGGCTCATGGTATCGAGGGGAAAGTTTTAAATTGTATAAAATCATGGCTCACCGATAGAACGCAGAGGGTCAGCGTAGATGGTGTTAAATCTGAGTGGGGCCGTGTAACCAGTGGGGTTCCTCAGTGGTCAGTACTAGGCCCACTCTTGTTGATAATCTACATAAACGATCTAGATACTGGGATCAGCAGTGACGTAAGCAAGTTTGCGGATGACACCAAAATAGGGCGGCAGATTAATTCAGGGCAGGATGCAAATGCATTACAGGATGATCTAAATAAACTGCAGGGGTGGTCTGAAAAATGGCAAATGAAATTCAATACCAGCAAGTGCTGCATACTTAATATTGGAAGAACAAATACTGATAATGTATACAGCCTTAACAACATCAACCTAGAGAAGTCGACTTGTGAAAGAGACCTAGGGGTACTTGTAAGCCCGGACCTACGGCCTAGAAAACAGTGCGTTAATGTTCGAAATAAGGCAAACAGAGTATTGGGTTTTATATCTAGAAGTGTAAGTAACAAGAGTGCAGAGGTCTTATTACAACTATATCTTGCACTAGTCAGGCCGCACCTCAATTATGCGGTTCAGTTCTGGTGCCCCTATTATAGAATGGATATAAATTCACTAGAGTCGGTGCAGCGAAGAATGACAAAAATGATTCCGGGACTTAGAAACCTTCCATATCAGGATAGGTTAAAGAAACTTAACTTGCATTCCCTAGAAAGGCGAAGAGTGCGGGGAGATATGATAGAAGTATTTAAGTGGGTGAAAGGAATCAATAAAGGGGATATAGATAAAGTTCTTATAATATCCGAGCAGGATAGGACTTGGAGCAACGGATTCAAGTTGGATAAGTTAAGGTTTGGGAGGGAGATAGGAAGGAACTGGTTCACAAATAGGGTGGTGGACGAGTGGAACAAGCTTAGCAACTTTGTAGTAAGTGCTGGAATGCTGGAAAGTTTCAAAAGGAGGCTAGATAGATTCATGGATGATAGAGAGTGGTAGTAACTCTCGACAAGAGCTGCCATGTACAGGCCAACCGGCCTATTGCAGACTCCTTATTTTCTTATGTTTCTTATGTAGGACTATTATTTGACTTCATTGCGGCTACATTTGGGTAATTAGTCGGACCGGCACTATGCAGCCCTGGCGGGTTAGTCCTATATTTATTAACCCCAAATTCTAAAGTAGGTATGCTAGGCCTCACAATTTCCACTAATGTCAGGGAAGCCACACGTCTACAACATTGCTAAGGGTGCCTCCCGAAAGCTGGGAAAGCTGTACAGATGCCGCAGCTACTTCACTCCTGAGCAGTTGCTTCAAGTTTATAAGGGATTCGTTCGTCTTAACTTGGATTACTGCTCTCCCTCATATCTGGGGTGACTCTTCTGTCCAACTGTTAGATAGTGTGGAATCAAAGAAATGTCGTCTTATTAACGCTCCTCCTATAGTTGATAATCTCTCTTCGCCGCAATGTTGCTTCACTCTCTCTTTTACAGGTACTTAAACGAGCAATGTTCGGTGGATTTGGCATCCTGTGTACCGCTAGCAAGGCTGTAGGCTCATATCACTCGTCTTGCGTGCAGTGTCCACCATTTCTGTGTGGATGTCAGTCACACTAGAATAACCTGTTATAGTAAATCTGGTAAATTTGCACTTGCACACCACACTCTGTTTAATATAGGCCACCCCGGCCAGGAAGTTAGGAAAGGTTAGGTAGGTTGGTGAGGTCTTCTAACAATGCCTCTATTGCTGTTTCTCATAACTAAGGTTAGGTTTAAGTTAGAAATAATCTTTTTTTTACATATTTGCACAAACTATGAGTGTACTACAGGGGGGTCCCTGGGGTATTTTCTTGAGGATGTTCGTAAGTCGGATTTGTACATACGGTAAGTCAGAACACATGCTATATGAATTGAATTGAAACAGTTCATTAAGCCAGAAAAACACAGATACAGAGTGGACAATAATAACAATATTAACATGGCTGAGCCAGTTGAGAACCTGAGCTCTCCTGTAGGCACCTGATATACAGTATATAATATTGTAATTAGTAGATGGTTGTTTTAAAAAAAAAATTCGAATTTTAGAAACAATACTTTCTTATGAAAATGCTGTAGTACAATAAGTTTTGGATGAACACACTATATTTATCTCTAGTACTGTATTTTTTTTTTTCAGGATTTTTAAGCGGAGAATGATATGCTAAGGGTAAGAGCATAATGTACTGTAAGTGGTGAAGAAGAAGTTAACCATAGCTGCAGTAAAACATCCAGGGTTAAGAACATTGTGAAGGCTATAGTTAGAAGACACCAGCAGAATGGGCAAGAAGAATAAAACTGTAAAAAGCCATGGGGAAAATTCAGTAAAGGAAGTCGGGAGTGAGATACAAGATGAAGGAATGGATGAGGAGGTGATTGGTGCAGTAGAGGAAGGCAGACATAAAAAGAAAAAGGTTGGAAAGAATAAATCAGTAAAGGAGTTGAAGGAGAAGAAGGTTAAGGACTCAGTTACTGGACCACTCAAGAGAAAGATTGAAAATGGAAATGTGACTGAGGCTTCTGGAGACACTCAGCCCAAGAAAAAGAAAAGTAAAAAAGATGGAAAAAAATCCACACAAGACAGTAAAAAAGAAGAGAAGGTTGAAAAGACAAAAAAGAAAAAAAAGGCAATAATTAACCAAAACGAAGAGAAACGGAACTTGAAAATCCCACCAAGTGGAAAGCCAGCGGTGAAGTTTGATTTGCATTTTGAAGAGAACGATTTGATGACCAATTGCTCAGGTGTTTGGATATTGAGGGAAGATGTTGAGAAGCTGCAGCAATTTAAGGCTTCCTTGCAGGATAAAAATGAAGAATCGGTAAGAATATTTTTGATCTTTTTCCTTAATATTGTTGTAGAATACGTTTGTAGGTTCCTGTTGATATTTGTATTTTTCAGTACTGATGTCGGTTATGTTTCTGGGTTCTTGTTTTTAATCCAATCATCACTGATGTGTCAGAGCAGACTTAATACATTCTGTAGATTACCTGAATATTACACTGTACATCCATCCTAGCCTATTTCTCCTGAAGTTTAACCACCATTACTGTACTCCAAAAATAGGCCGATACCACAGATACCGATACATCGGTACATCCCTAGTTACAACAAACATAAAGCAACTCTCGGTAGCCTCAGCTGTGGTGTTGAAACAAGTTGAACATTGTACAGTACACAACAACTTTTCCAAGACTAACATATGACAGCAATTTTCTTCCTCCCACATTAAATAAGTGATTCTCTTGGGGAGTAAAGTGTGGTAGTTACAAAACGAGAATTAAATGACAAGTACTGCTGTACTGTACCCTGTAATAAGGAAAGTGATTAAACTGATGAACAGAATTGTTCTTGCCACTGATGTAATGGGCAGTTGAAGACAGAGAGAATTGAGTGTTGATGTTTGAAACGAAAGGAAGACTGAAGCTCAGGTTTTTTTGCTCTTTTTAGACCTTATTAATATTTATTTTTTGTTTTACATTTGTTTATTATACATTCTCTAAGATCTACGTAAATGCATGTGTAAAAATTTTCCTTCGCTTTATTGTGTAATACAATTGAACACAAATTTGGGTTTGAAAATTTGCATTGTATTGTTTATATTAACATGTCTTCTATAACTTGTTCTTGTATTCCACACCATATTATCCCTTCAACTAACTCTCACATAATAACATTAGTTGTGTTGCTTCAGTTACCGGTATCACTAACAACAGTTAATATTTGTTCATTGGCTGTCCGCAGGTTCCCGCCATCTTTACCTGAGACTATACTCCTTACTTAGTCACTTGTCTCCTCCTTTCCTCCTCTTCCGTGTATGGGAATAATTTTATTTTATTTTTTTCAAATCTGACCTCCATTTTTGTGCAAATTAGCGGTTTCTGTTAAAAATTAAAATACAAAAATTTTGTCTTCAAAAACTGCAAATTTGCACATTTTTAGCAAAAAATGCTAATTTGTAAAAGAAATGAATGTCAGATTTGAGTGAAACACACCATAAAACACCAATAAACCCTATTATCATACCAAAACCTGAGGACAGCCAATGGATGAATATTTATCATAACATCATTGTCAGTTATGGGAAATTATTTTTGTTATCTTTTAAATAAATTTTTTGAACAAATTAGTACTTAACACTTTTGTTTATTTTGCAGAAATATAAAATTTTATTGCATTCACCTTCATCACAAATTATACACATCCTGTTTCTCACTGAACCAGATATCAGTTTTAGAATTTCATGACCAAACCTGAACATATATCTTCCATCAAATGTTTCTTAGAATTTGTATCTTAACTATTTCTAAATTCTACAGCATGACAAAATTGGACATCTCTTTTGTAGTTTTAGTGATACTGTAGTTGTTATGTCTGTGTGTTCTTTTATTGTGGGAGGCTGGGTGGTTGTAACCTTCACTTATGCAGCTTATCATAGCCTCATAGTAAAACATTGCTACATATGACAATTGTGTCATATTATCTATCTCTAGTAAATAAGCAAACCACATTTTTGCAATATCACAACATCCAACCATACTCATTAATGAGTATACTGTAAACAGTATTTTAATGTCATAATTAGATAGTCTCAGCTCCTGCTTACAACAATCATTCCTACTTGACCTGTTAGCCCAGGTAGGCTCATTGTCGCTATATTTATTGGATGATACAATTGTTTATGTTATAAATTTTTTTTTTTTTTTTTTTTGGTTCGGAGAGACAGTTGCCATACTGTATACAGTACCGCTTTTGGGACACAAGTTTTGTGTTTGTAGTAATTCCTTTTATAACAATAGATCTGTATCAAGTTACTCTATAGTCAATCAGTATGTAGATAAACTACATCTTGCCAAACCTGTGAGGTTGTCTTGTGAATGGGATCCAAATACTGTACCTTAGACTGGATTACCTATCTTTCATCTTACTGGGGTTCCAAGGAATATCCATATGGTAAGAAGGTACCCCATAAAAGTGGATGCCTTAAATGTTCTGCTGTGAACCAAAACAAAGATACCCTGCTATGTTCATTTGTTTGTTGCCATCAGCTGTAAGGGGCTTGGTCAGGAACAATCACTTTAGATTCCAGTCATACCTCAAACCAGATGATCATACTAGCCATGGTGTGCATTTATTAGGTTATCATGCCTTTGGTTAACCTTAGACCTGGGGTTTATCTCCAAGGTACAGGATAGATTAAGTTTATTATAAGTCTTGTGTTACACAAAAATTTGAGGTTGCTCCTGGCAATTTATTTTAGTCATGACGAACAGATCTCATTTACATTAGGAAAAGCTTTGCCTCTGCATTTTCTTCATTAGTGAATCTCTAAGTGTGAGGCCACAGCACAGAGTAGTGGGAAGATTGTTGAATAATCTTAATAAATACATGATGAAGACAAGATTGACTTCATGATTTAATGTGAACCAATTCCCTTTTACAGAAAAGGAAATTGATTATGTTTAAAAAGAGGAAATTTGGAAGTAAATTGAAGAAGAAGCTGATTCAGGAAATAAAGAAGATGAATGAGGATCAAGTATCTACCCCTACCCCCACCCCTACCCCCACCCCCACCCCCTCTCCCTCCAAGCAGGAACTCGTTCCACTCATATTTGAAGAGAACCACATGATGACCATGTATGAAGATGTCTGGGTGCTGAAAACTGCTATTCCAAAATTAGAAGCAATTGCTTTAAGAAAACTAAAGCAGATTCATGGAGCTCGAACTGGTGACAACATGAATGTAGAACTTACAGCGAAGGAACAAAGTGTTTATGATAGTTTCATGAAGAAGCAGAAACGCTCTGAGAATAAAAGGTTGAGGATGCTATTGATCAAGAATGGGAGAAGACAGGCCTGGGAGGAACTTCGAGCTTCACAGAGCACCAATGGTAAAGTGCAGAAGCGTAAAAAAAAGCAACCGGGGAAGTACCTCAACATTGACTATGCTAATGACCCAAACATTACCAAATATAATGGATTTTATGTCAAGAAAGAAGCCGTGAAATTGTTGGATGATTTGAAAGGTTCGTATGTTATGGAGATCTTATCAAGTTGTTTTATAAAGTGTAGCGCAGGATATAACTAAAGGCTTTTTCATGGGTGCTTACAACTTAATGACCGTAAACCCTCAATAATCCTAAATAATTGGGAAAGGTCCATATTTCTGGGATATCATGGTAATCTTTTTTTAGGTCACAAAGGAAAGCCACACACTCAAAATATTTTAAGTATTTTTGGTATCCTCATGCATCTGTATTTCATTAAACAAAACAAATACAGTTATGTACATTGACAAGCATGTAATATGACAGTTTGAATGGAAAATCAATGTTAATCCATAGTCTCATGTGCCAATAAGTTTAATTGTCCATTAGGATATAGGGCCCAATTAGCCCTAAATCACAGTAGGTGGCCCCAAACATAATGGTCAAACTTGTTTATCATATACATATTATGCATTATCAAGATGAACTAGATCCTTGTAGGGAAGTGTCATAATTATGTAGGTGATACATTTGTATAAACTTGGATAAGTACTGGTATTGTAATAGATTATTGCGAGCTAGGTTGTGTAGTGATTGACAAAGTTGTTAGGCTAGTACAGTACTGTATTGCACATGGATCTTCCAGGTATGACATTCAGGACACCTGAATATCAAGCTATGGACACCTTGCAAGACACAATGAAGCATAGTTTTGATCCTTACCAGTGCTGTTTTATGAACCCTGTACATTGTCCTCACCAATTATTAGAAAGACACACACACACACAAATAGACTACAGTATTGGAAAAAAAAGTGTAATAAGTTTATTTCTGTACAGATAAACCAATGTTGTAAACTGAACTATTATTAATCATACTTTATTTTTATTTTTTTCAGACCAGCTAATTTTAAAGGGGATTCCTGAAAAGGAGTGGAAAAAACAACTGAAACTGGCCTCACGAAAGCAAGAGCGGCTGATGAAGACGGCCTCACGACAGCAGGAGCGTCTGATAAAGAAAGAGAGAGAATCAACTGTTGCCTCTGGTGAGTTATGATGTTTGTTGGTATTCACTGTGTTGAGTCATGTACAGATACTCTACTGTAGCGGGGAAGGTTGCTGGACATTATTTATTTTTTTTTTTTTTTTTGAAATGTGAGGGAGTACAGTGGAATCACATACAGTACATAGTATAACAAATCTCCCTTTATGTATGATATGTGTAAAGTAGCAGTGCTTATTATTATTAGACATCATGATTCTGAGTTAACAGAACATAGATTTACTTTTTTTTCTGTAAATCCAATATCTGTTGAATTAGTCTGTCACTGTAGGTATTGGAATAAAGAGTTAGAGGATGTGCCTGGCTTAGTGTTAGTCTTCAAGTGTGAATATTGAGGTTGATTGTGGCGCCTCTCTCTCAAAGGCTTTAAAACAAGTGCTGATATGCAAGTATTATGTAAATTTTGTAATATTGTGTCGATATAATTATCTTATTGACAATGAAAAGCATAAAAACAATCATACTGTAACATCATATATGAAAAAGTTTTCTAATAATATAATTATCTAAGTTAATATTACAATAATTGACTTGAATAGAACACTGAAAACTCATGAATAATTAAAACATTATGGTACTTTACAGTAATATCTTGCACAGTATCTTATACTGTACAGGTATAATTAATAATTGTACCCTCTAAAACTAAGCTGCTTCAATTTTTCCTGAATGATCATCCCCAGACTTGACCAAGCCCACTGTTAACGAAGTTGGGGAAAATGTCTACCAGAAAGAAGAGTCTTTGTCAGGTATTACTGAATGATTGTGTCAGTAAAATATGTTCTAAAGTTGTCACCTTAGTGCCACAGGAAGGCCACAATTTGTAACGTCACTTAAGGAACAGTTGTAGACAATGTTCATGAATATACAGTTCAGTATATATAATTTTACATGCGTATAACAGTTCTTACTTTGTAGATGGTAAAATTTTGAAAAGTGAAAATAAAAACTAAACGAGTACTAATGATACACCACTTAAATTAAGAGGCCCTTCTGTTTAATCCATTTTTGTATTTTTCAGGTGTAGCTGTTGACGATGGTGAAAATACTGTGGAAACACCAAAGAAGAAAAAGGACAAGAAGCAGGCGAAAAAAGCTAGCAGAGTAGGTTAGCTGGTGCCGTCTTGGAGGAGGTGAGACTTAGTGTAACTTTTAATTTTCACACAGCTTTGCTTTACAGTGCATCTCACTGTATAGAATGCATGTAGTTGGTGATGAGTGCATTGATGCAAGTATGACTACAGCAACTTGGAACCTTATATTGTCAGTTGTTGAATATTAATTATTAAACTGGTTGTAGCTACAGTACTATGTGTGGTAATGTTTTTATGCCCCTGCCATGATGTTGATAATGATTATTAAGTGATACTACCAGTGTTATTCTCTCTTCATTCATTCTACTCTAACATCTGCATTAACCACTCGCTGCTAAGCTCTACAAGTATTCACCGACACTTCCTTCCTGGATATGCTGCCCACCTCACTTCACCACCTACTTGGTGTCCCTCGTTATCCAAATGTTCAGTATCCAAAAATTCGCTTAACCAAGATATGTATTGATACACCCCTTTTTCACTGTGTGAAAGATGTCAGATAAAAAATTCATATAAATTCAAACCAGCCCACCCTTCCTCACCCTCTATGTTGAGCCCTGACAGCTTTCCGATATGGTAATGTACCAACTGTACATTATATTTGGTTTTTATTGTGGAACCACCCCTTGACCCGGGGAATTGAATCAGACATAGCTAGCTTTTTTATGTAGGTTGGCTAAGATAGTCTTATTACTGCCTACTTTGGAGTTGGACAAACTTGCATATTAGATCCATTATTTCTTTTTCCTTTGGGTTAAGTGTTAAATTATCCATGAGTCCCTCAGAGGTTCTGTCAAACCAAGGTTAGGGAGATTTGGGTCACCGAGCCCATTTTCAGTACTAGAGATTTCTGATATCCTCCTACGTATTTCCACTAAAGCTGAGGTACTCCCCACATAATTTTTTTATACCATGAAATAATATGATCAGTAGTTCCAGCTGGTTAACACCAGAGGACATTGGCTGGCTATATATGGTTCAGAAATTTCCCATTGATTTAATGAGGAAATTGCTCATAGGCTTTCTAGGTTGAAAATCTTAAGGTTGAAATGCATCACCCTTTGGGAAAATAAAATCTGTTTAGTGAAAATATACCTAGTGAACACTTTTTCAAGAGCACATGTTGTTTATTAAGCAGGAACTTATTGTATAGTCCCATTTTATAACTAGGACTGGACTGTGGGATCCAGTAAAAGGGAATTTTGGAACACTGCTTGTGTGACAAAAACCTGAGTTCTACTTTAAATGGTAATAGCCTGAGAGTGTAGCTTATCTTTTGTTTAGTCCCTAACCTTGGTTATTGTGGACTACTCTGGGTTAGTTCTGACAATTTGACTTACCTGTCTTTATAACATTGGTCCCTCAGTCTAGCTTCACTTACAAAATGAGGTATCAAAAACACTCCATAATTAAAACACATGAATAGTCCTTGTCTTAATCACCATCATCAACCATGGCGCCTGTGTGTAGGGTCACCCACACCATCAGTGATCATGTAGTTGAATAAATGTTTTAGAATCATATTTTTGTCTTGTTACATCCTTTAACTAAGGAACAGTCCACCAAAAACGTATCATTAGTTTTTCCGCCACTACAATTTGAAATGCTAGACGAGATTTTGAATATTATTCCCAGTGCATCATCATAAGTTGGTAGGCATTCTTGCCATATCAGCAACAGCTAGAGATGGGGGTAGGATTGTGGGAGGGAGTTGTCCTTTTATGACATACTATCGTAAATACTTTAATATAACAAGAAATTCATTAAGCCACAGTATATTAATGTATGTATCATTTGAAAATGTATACTGTATGCTCATTCATGCACAAAGATCACGGATGTACAGCTACCAACCATTCAGAAACAGGTTGAGTAACATTGCTCAGAAAGCCTGAAATCACATTGACCCCCATTGCTAATTAAATTTTTTGGGGGGACTACAATATAAGCACTGCTTGAGGTGTCATACATAGGCCAAAATTTCTCCTGCATCACTGTGTTTCCTCTCACAATGTTTCATCCTGTATTGGAAAAAGCATTGTCTACATTAACACTGAAAGTAAATTTCTGTTTCACCTTGCAGAATATGAACCTACTGAGAAGATAGAAAATCTGAAATAGAAAGGTAGAGAAAAGTTGATGCAAGAGACTCAGTCTGAGTATAGTCCCTGAGTAAAAGAAAAAGATGGGTGAGAACGTAGAAGTGCAAGAACGAGAAATAAATGTGGAAAAGAACAGCAGGTTGAGAGCGTGCCACCACAGGGAATTACTGTATCAAAAAATAAATGACATAGACGCAAAAACTGGACTTTCAAATCTCCATACTTAATAGATCATGAATAATTTTGATAATTCAGTCATATTGCCATAGTAGCCTTTTATTAACAAGAGTTATATTACATTTGGTGTGTGTGACCAGAAAGCAAGTCTCTTGTATTTATTGTATATCATCAGGGCTACTCTAGATAGATGAGAGGTAGAATCCTGAAATCCCACTTTATAGCAGAATCTGGATTGGGTGACTCGGGTATACAGTAAAATGTCTCCTCATCCTCTCGGCCAGACAGACCATGTTAATCTGTCAGTTGGGAGCCTCTTGACAAATCCTCTCCCTGCAGCACTGTCTTGACAAAGGCCTTCAGCTAAATAAGAGTGACGCTACAAAGTCTGAAATATGAGGAGTGTGAAAACAGTGAGAGTGCACTGTACTTAACACAAGCAGACAATGTGAGTAGCAGTTTGAAACACTCTAGCAAATGTAGTGGTGTATCAAATGCATGCTGAGACACATAAGAAAACCTTGTGCAGGTATAACAGTTTAGATGCATTCCTGGAAAAGGAAACACTGAAAAAAACAGCTTTAAGAGGTCAGTATATCAGGGTTCTAAAACACTGCTCTTATTTCTTGCCTACTGTAACCTTTGGGCAATGTCATATACAGTACTGTACTGTTTATAAGTTATTGGGGTAATCGCTCTAATGATAGATGCCATACACATTACAACATTTTGTAAATAAAACGAATAAAATATCTGTATTATAATAATGACACAAGAAAGTTTATAAGTTGTGTACTCACCTGCCAGCAAATTACCAGGGCCTCAGTTCAGGCAAATACTTTTCTACACATGTGATACCAAAAAGTGCTGCTGCTCTATAAAAAAAAATGTATGAACTATACTGTTTAAGCTGATGCTGCCTAATGGTGAACATTCCCATAGGACAACCTTTCTGTCTCGTCTCATTGGCTGAGCCATCCCAACTGTGGTTGGCTTCTAATGACAATTTAAAAATATCTTTGATTATCGGAAGCTGATTAATGGACTCGTGACCGCAGACATTTCACTTACCACAAGATATGTTCTAATCGATAGATACCTGTTGATGGGAGAGTGATATTTTTGGTACAGGCTATCGAGAAACCCCTAGGTAAAGTTTTGCAGTACAGTACAGGATATTTCTGCAAATTTATTGATACAACATTGATACAGTGATACATGAAATATTTTCTTACTTAACTAGTGATCATTTTGAAATACGTACTGTATGTGGAAGCTATGATAAAACATGGAAAGCTTAAATAAAGAATTATTATTCTAGTGAGTCTTAAAAGAAGGAAAAAATAATACTATATACATGATTGATGGGGAGTAAGACAGGATAAGGGGCCCAAAATAAAGAGAGAGACTAGGGCCTAGGATTTATCTCCCAAGCCCTTCTGTGTAAAACTGAACACATCAGCTGTTGTTCCTCATGTGTTCCTACCCTTACATGAAACCCAACTGACTCCAGCAAAATGATCCTTGAATAAGTTGTCTTAGTTGCTGCTAACAAAGTGGTGGATTGGTTAGAAGCCCTTGACATAGCCAAACCCAAGCTACTATCAATAAGTTGATGCTCACCTGTGGTGGAATGTGAGGAAAGACTGTCCGCTTTCTCTAAAAAAGGGTGTTGGCAATAATGTGCTGTGAGTGGAAGGTGGGTGCAGTGGAGTAGATGACAGAGTGCAGGATGTTGAATTTTTCGTGTTCAGGTAAACACAGGCCACAGGCTTTAGAAACTTAACATTAGGTAGGTGAGTTCTGTTACCTGGGTGACATGATCAGTGCCAGTAGGGATACTGAAGCCTGCTCAGTTGCAAGAGTCGGAAGTGGCTGGAGGAAGTTTAGGGAGTTGCTGCCTTTATTGACGGCAAGAGGACCTTTTCTCGGAGTGATAGCAAGAATGTTCAGGAGTATGCTGCTGGTGTGAGAAGTGTAAAGTTGTATGGTAGTGAAACTTAAACAGTTAATAAAGGTAGTATAAGAAGACTTTAGGGAGCTGAAATGAGAAAGGTGAGGTGGATATGGAATGTGACCCTAAAAGACAAGAAGCCCTGTTCAGAGCTAATAGGGCTGCTGGGTATTGGGAGTATTGGTGAGGTCCTGCATAGAGGCAGTGTGAGATGGTTTGGGCATGTGGAGAGAATGGATGAGCCTAAATGTGGAGGGGAGGAGAGCCAGGGGTAGGCCAAGAATGACGTGGGTAGAGGTAAGAAATGACATTAGAGCTAGGAACCTGACAAGAGAAACTGCAAGACCATACAGCATGGAGAGCTGCCATCCGGTAACCCACACAAGCGTGGAAAATAGCTGTAAAATTTATGATGATAGAGAGACCTCTTAAATGTAGATTTTTTGTAAGAGTTGTTATTCTTGTCTAAAAATTAGGTACCATTATCACATCTTTCCTCCATATTGAATAAAATCCCATATTTAAGAAGAGTCTTGGGAGCAAATTCATAATATTTACTGTTCGGAAATATAATTTGTTTTTCTTTAAGACCAGTATTGGGTTATGTACCCTTAAAATTATAGTGAAATTCAGTACAACACTGGATGCAAAAATGGCATCAACATTGGTATGTACAAGATGTTGATTATAATATAGTTTCTGGAAAACTTGAGGAAGACTTAAATAATCTTTTAACATTTACAAAAAGAAATCTAAAGATTATGTAGATATAAAGAAACTTGGAATAATGGTTAGTAGACCTACTACAGCAACTACAGTATGTGCATATGCAACGAAAGGATTATAAGTACGATACCTGTACTGGGTTTTATATATATGAAAGCACATTCAAAAGTGTACAATTTATCTGATATCAGTGAGACCTCAGGTTATGCTGTTGAGTCTCCATTGGTCACTGGAATATTGTACAATATATAATAGATATAAGTTCTCTGTGAAGAGTAATATGATTAAGGTGTACAAATACACTCTGGAATCAGTACATCCCCAGTACTTACCATCTATGCTGCACAGAGACGCTCGCCCCACAAGGGGTCACAGCTCAAGATTGAAGAAGCCGCAAGTCCGGAAAACCGTGAGGGCAAACTTTTTCGGAGTGAGGGTTGTAAACTCTTGGAACAATCTACCAGAAAGTGTTGTGACGGCACCGAGTGTGAGCTCTTTCAAGAGAAGACTTGACCAACACTGGAGCGGGTTCAGGTACATTCAGGAGCCGGTGCATGCCCAGTATTTGCCAACAGTGCGTGACAGAGACGTGACCGATCGCCCGGGCGGCTAGCGAGCCGACCCTTTGGTGAAGAATATAAAGGAAAAGAGTCGTGACCGATCGCCCAAGCGGCTAACAAGCCGATCAGTGGCGAAGAGGATAAAAGTAAAAAAAAGTAAAAAAAGTAATAATATGTTTAATATGTATTGTGGTAATCGCACAGCCTTTTTAAAAAAAAATATTTGGAAAATATACAATTATCTTTCCTACTTTGGTGGGTGTTGAGGCCAGACAGGTGGGAAGGGTGTTATCCAGTGTGATTACCAGACATCACAAGTTTTCTCCAGGTACAGTACTCCGATTTCCATTCTGGACTAACACTGGAGAATAAAGTTCGTAAGAAGTAAAATAGAACAAAACTCAAAAGTATCCCCTTAGTGACAACGTGAGTAAAGTAGGTCATCGTTATCAGCAGCATAAGAGGGGAGAACCAAGAAATTATGTGAGTTAAATAAGTCACACATTCAATGTTAGATAAATTTGAGTCGGTAGTTAAATCAGGCACACTATACGATTAACGAGAGATAAAAAATATTAGGCTTGTGGTGTATTTTGGCGGGAAGGAGAACATGTAAACAAATGTCGTGTGACTGTAGGAGACTGTGGTGTCCTTAATACTGTTCCGTGTTACTTTATTCCCGGGAGATAATAAGAAATATTGTTGAAGATGCCACCAGTTCGCGTTAAACACGTTACTTCCTTTTCTTCTCAGGTGTGTAACGGTTAAGATAAACTATTGTGTGGCGTCCAATGTTGAAATTTGGGTCAAATTTCAGTTTTACTAAGGCCTGTTGTGTGTGTCGACAAGGAACTTAATTGTTCTGGTCATTGTAAGAAAAAGGGGATTCAGGCAGTGAAACTATTATAGTAGGTTTTATAAGAAGGTTGTTTGGATGGCCCATCGCTCATCACGATCTTCAATAGTGAGGTGCTTCTCTGTCCGGAGTACTGTCACCCCGCCTGGTCCCCGAGGTATGCTACCCAGAGAGATAAGAATGCCTGTAACTGCCTAGCTTATACCACAGATGGGCAAGGGGCGACCTAATCGAAGTGTATAAACATCTCGGAGGGCACTACTCGGTCGAATGTACATACCTGGAGTTGGTGGATACCAAGTGCCTGCCCCACAAGGGGTCACAGCTCTCAAGGTTGAAGAAGCCACATGTCCAGAAAACTGTGAGGGCAAACTTTTTTGGAGTGAGAATTGTGAACTATTAGAACTCATGCCAAAGAGCATTGTGACAGCACCGAGTGTGAAGGCCAGATTTGACCAATACTGGAGCAGGTTCATGCCCAGTTTCTGCCTACAGTGCGAAACAGAGACGTGACCGATTGCCCAAGCGGCTAACAAGCCGATCAGTGGCGAAGAGGATAAAAGTAAAAATATATATATACTTTATATAAAAGTAAAAGTAAAAAACACAAAGAACATTGCTGAAACCAATTGGGAGTGAAACTGCCAAAATACCAATTTTTTTTGTAAAATTTCACTTGTTGCCACCCAAATAATTTTGAAAATTTTATGGTTGCAATCAGTATTTTAAATGGTAAGGGTGGAACAGACAGCTAACACCAGAAGGAGAAGTTTGATTTTGCTAATTTTTTCCATGTGTTCTTTGGATGATAGTAAGTAATAAAAATGATACAACAATGCATAGAACCTAATAGAATCTGACTTAATCAACCTAACCACAGGAACCTACCTAACCTGGTAAAATTGTCATTTCAGTCATCACCTATTTGGAAGTTTCAGTAAAACATAATTTCAACCTAACAGAACATAATCGAACGTAACCCAACCTAACCTAACGAAACTTAACGTAACCTAACCTAACTAAACTTAACCTAATCTAAACTTAAAATTGTAAATTTCACAGGATGATTGAAATGATAATAATACCCCTAATTTTATCTAACTTCCTAGCTGGGGGCTCTTAAGTGGTATGGTGTAATTTTATGTTTTTTGTGGATGTGAGAGTATAGAAAGTAACAAAGAGCCAACGACAACACACGCTGACGTGGTAGATTTTGGCGAAATATTTACAGTTAAATAATTAATTTCTCCGCATAAAAAACACGTACCCTGCCCGCAACAGGTTATTTATAATCGCAGAGAAAACTAAAAAAAATCAAAACAAATGTGTACCTTGTATACTTATAATTAAACTAAAAAGCTATTGTATAGTTTTTATTACTTATTATCATCCAAAGAACATATGTTGAAAAAATGAACATAGGTACAGTGATAGAACAACAACTGGTGTCAGCCGTCTGCTCCACTGCACTGTATTACTTCTAAGATGCTTTTTTGTATAACGTTTCTCTCACAAACAACCTATCCCAACCTCTTAACTGCATGCATAAATAGTTTGCAAGGGAAACGTTAAGGAAGAAAAGTCTCTTAGAATTGTCTAAACTATTGTTTGCGAACATAAAATTCACAAAATTCTTTGGGGTGGCAACAAGTGAAATAATACCAAATATTGTATTAAACTTGTACTGTATTGTATATTGTTTGGACATTAAGGTTATTAGGCTTAATAGGTATATTATCTCAGCAGTTTGTTTAGTAATACAGTAAACTGGAAGAGTTACAGTGAGTTCAGACTGTGGTATGTTTGACCCATTGTGAGTTGGTCTGAACTACCTTGCTCAACTTCTGTAAGTTCAGACCATATATTACAAGATGATTATTTGTAACTAAAGTATTTGTGACACTGCCATACATGCAAAGAGAATGTCTGCTTTATCCTCTTTACCACTGATTGGCCTGTTAGCCGCTTGGATGCATGCAACAAATTTTTAAGTTTCCATGACCACGACAAGTTATAAGACCACTCAAATGGGGTCTGGTCATCTTTGTTCTGCAGCCAGTATATCCCACAAGAATTATTTATTGTATTTATTTACAGTATTTTATTTTATTAATTTTTTGCATGATTTATGCATCTTTGGGTTTGTCATTGTTTTGGGTTTTAATACAAGCAAGGAAATAATAAAATGAAAACAAGACTATATTTTTTCACCAAATAAAGAAAACAAGGATTTTTTGTTCCCTCCAGCATTATATCTTTGATATTTTCCCACAAACCTACCAAGGTATTATATAATTATAGAAATGGAATTTACGAGCTTACCAACTGTGGCTTTAAAAATTTTATATAATTAATTGTGAGGAGGGTGGGAGAGGAAATAGAGACAAATGCAACCTACCAACACGGCTGACGGGAGGCAACTGACGGACACCGTAATTTTACCCACACTTTGGCACTTTCTTTCTGGAAGCTTCCCTCACAAATCATGCAAACATCTATGATGCAAAAAAAATTGACGTAATTATATTGAAAACTTTTTTTTTAGAATTTTTTAAAGTTTAATGATGTATTCACGTCACCGATGCACATAGTGCTACCCAATGATTTGGTGTGATTTGCCTCATAATGCGCAAGAGGGTATATATAGCGAACATCGTTGGACCCTATCTCGCTATATATCCCGACCCTACTGTACCCATTATGCTGCTGTGTTGGCTGGGGGTGCCTCATGGCTGGCCTTGAGTCTCAGACTAATGACTCCTGGTTTATGAGGTCAGTTTATGTCTAGTTGGCCACTGCGCTCTATGATGATTATGTGATTTAGGACTTTTATCCATATTTATCCATATACAATACCTGTATAATTTATATACAGGTATACAGTACTATATATTTTATTTTTTCACAAAATCAGGTGGATGGGAATTGTACACAGTATCCCCTCAACCCACCTGAATACTTTTTTGATATATGGATAATACTGTTGCCTTCTAAAAATATAATATAAAGCATTATCAGAAAAATTATGTTTAATTTCTTGAAAATATGTCTGTCATTTCTTATTAAAGGTGTTTAGTGTTGGAGTTTAGACTTGTCACATGACTTAAATCACCCTGGATCTACATGTGAGTCTGTGTCTGTACAATAGAATTTCATTGTTCTCAGTTTAAAACAAATAAAATAGTTGCTTGATGTACAGTACATAAATGAAGATGTCGATGGAAGTTACCAATTAAATAAGGGTTGTGTAATTTGAAAATAAATTTACTACATTGTCCCACTTAAGACAACAGTCACTCATGTTTATTTATGTTAATGATTATATGGATTTTGTTACCGAATAGGATCCTAAACACCCGGTTGAGGACTTGGTGAAGGGTCGTGGGTCATGGCTCAGTCATCCCGGGGACAAGTCATGTCGGCTCCAGGCAGACTTGCAGCTGGATTGGGCAACAACAATTAACTACATTGACATAGGTGATAACCCATGGATTATTTTATGTTTTGCCTGGTACTTTTTTCCAGTATCTTATGTAAATTTTTATCAGTTATCTCTCAGATTTTATTGACAAACTGCATTCATCTTCAGGGTTGTACAGTAGTATCCACAACGTACCTTTCTTTCTTTTTCCATGTAAGTCTTTACCTGCCCTACTGTGAGGTAACTGAAATCAAGAGCAACAACAGACTCTCACCTTTATCCTTTCACTCCAACTGCCAAGACATCCCCGAGAGCCATTAGATACTATCATTCACACTGCTGCTTCCTGGATGTTCATTCTCATAACTGTTAGTACCCATCTCCTTGATCATCTCCCCCCTCCCCTCTCCTACCATCCATCCATCTCCTTGGTCATCTCCCTCCCCCCCTCTCCTACCATCCATCTCCTTGATCACCCTCCCTCCACTATCTCCTACCATCCATCCATCTCCTTGGTCCCCCTATCTCCCACCATCCATCCATCTCCTTGGTCCCCCCATCTACCATCCATCCATCTCCTTGGTCCCCCCATCTACCATCCATCCATCTCCTTGGTCCCCCTATCTCCTACCATCCATCCATCTCCTTGGTCCCCCCACCCCATCTCCTTAGTCATCCCCCCTCCTCCCTTTCTCCTAACCTCCATCTCTGAATTCTATTTAGAAATATTTTGTAAACTTTTCTATTTGTTGTTAAATATTTTGGATCATTTGTTCCCATTTTCAGATATAAACCCTTTACATTGGCATATATGATGCAGGGGCTGCAGTGTGTTATGGAACAGTTTTGTTTTTGTGGATGTTGAGTTAACTTTGTGTTATGTGTATGAGATGAATTGTAAGCTGATTGAGTGATTTTTTGGGTAGCTTCTGCCTCCATTTAAAAGTCATTTACGGTACTGTACAGGTGACCCCCAACACAATTACTGTTATGTCTAATACAGGTACAGTACAGTATATGGAAATCCATTTTAATGAAAGTGACATTTTCACACCTTTTTCTCGGTACAAAATTCAAACATTCACTTTAATGAATAACAACATTTTGACACCCTTTCTTCTTTAAATAATGCAAATTTTGCTTTAACATGTTCTGCTAAAGAAATTTTCAAATTGCACATGAAGAACTACTTTTTGCAGTTACAATCACCACCCAGGATGTGCAGAAACACACTTATGCTCTACTACTCAATGCAATAGTCATTCACACGTGCCACCCCTCAGGCCATTAATGTGCAGCTTTCTTTCACTGCTTCCATGTGTCTCCGCCTATCCTTTTGTAAAGGCCCTATATATACTGACTAAGTTGCCTAGTCAGTGTGAGGCACAACATTCCATCTGTCTTCACACCCATGCCAAAAAGCAAGACAAAGCAGTTAGTCTGAAAACAAAGTTAGAGGTGAGCATGTGTTGATGAAGAGCCAACAAGAATCAGTCAAGCCTTGTTTTTATCACCCTTTACTGTTGGCCTTTCTCTTCATCTTCATCTTTAGTTGTAATGGTACTTAAAAAAACAGACTCATTGTCAATGTAGTTTTGCTTTCATTATTTTTACAGGAAAAAATCCTAGTTGATCAATATTTCCCTTCCCTGGAACATACCCCTCAATAATACTGCACATGAATTCTACCACTTCATATACAGTACAGGTACATTTTTCCACTTAAATGGATTTATAGGAACAAAACCCCTTTGTAAATTGAGGGATGTACTTGTATAGGTTTAAGGCACCACCATTTTTGTTATTTAGTACTCCACAATAGTTAAATCAATTGAACACTGACTTGTCACAAGTTAGTGCACCATATTTTTTTTTATGATACTGCAATTATGTACTCTACATTCCATTGTGAAATCACAATCTTTGCACTACTGTTTAATAAATATTTAATCATAATTGTATATGAGGTAAAAACTATAACAGTAAAAAATTTATGTACTGTATCTGTATACAGTACTGTATTTAACTTGCATGTACTGTGTACAGTATAGAAAGTGACACTAACATTGTATACCTTGACATGCATTTCCATGAGCTGCCATTTTGTGTGTGCAGCTGTTGGAACAGGAAGTCTTAACAAAAATAACACAACCTCTTCCTTCTGGGTTTCATATCTTTATCTTTTGATTACTAATTTGATTGTTTGCAGGTAATGCTGGGAGTGTGATGGTGAGTGTAGAAGTGGGGCGGTCCTCGTGGCCCACAAATCAGTCTCTTGTGACGTTGCTGCCAGCAGTGTCCCTCATGACCCCCGAAGATTGGCGTGCAGGAAAAAATAAAACTACAGTTCGCATGTTTAAGCAAGGTCAGATTTATGATGACACTTTGTGACACAAGCACAAATGCAGTACAGTATAGTCTCGATTTACACGGATTTGGTTTACGCGTTTGGTCATTTACGCGGCACCTTGCCAGACCGACAATTTTTATTTACACGGTTCATTCCACCATTTACGCGGGAAGCGGCGCGGGCAGGGTGCGCACAAGGTCGCCCAGTCATCAAAACATTACCGAGTTCTTCACCCGCTACCCACCACAGCCGGCCCAAGTTAGCGATAGTGAGGATATGGACTTTGAGGGGTTTGACAAAGAGGCCCTGCAAGCCTCTGTGTTGGATATTGATACAATTGATACAGGTGAGGGCCAATAATCTGCCCTCTGCCTCGGAACCAACCCCCCCATCCCAGTGTGCCCAGTCATCTTTTCTACTAACGTAAGTGTTAAAAAACCTAATATTATTGATATTTCTCTTAAATATTAATTGTGTGTGCATACCATCATAAAATTAAGATGTTATTTTTACTACAACGTAGGTATTGTGTCTGAAAAAGTGGAGTTTGGGGGTCGGCCCTGTCTCTATTTCAATTAGTCCCATATGTTATGTTGTTCACTTTACGCGTTTCTCACTTTACGCGGGCCGCCGTGGGTTCAATTGACCGCGTAAAGTGAGGGTTCACTGTACTGTGTTGTTGTCCTCTTCTCACTCCTACAAACTTTGTAGTGTCCAATTCTTATTTATTTACTAGTTCTTTATTTTATCATTTATTTCTAATTATAGGTATTAAGATTATCTCAAGTGCTGGGAAACATTTTTTTTTCTCTTCCTGTACATCTTGTACACTATTGTTCATTATTATTTCATTCTAAAGGACAGGTATTGGTAATTTTTGCACTTTCGAAATGTCAACTTAACACACACATAACCATCATGTAAGTTTTTCCTTGTTTATTGCAGATGATATGAACAGTGAAGCCTTTAAGGAGAAATGGGACAGAGTGAGGGTAGTGTGTATACATCCATTCAGGAGAGATGCACAATTTGGCCTCTCCCTCTTCCGACTTCATACCAATGCTGAGGTAAATTGATTATTGATTTACCATCCAGTCTGCATCCAATAAGATGTCTCTCACTATTTGTATACCATTGTTGGTTTCTCGACCCATTCTTGATTAGTGTTTAAGTAGTATAGTCCCTTTGCTGGTAGTATCATATGTGTACTTGTAATGTGATGACTTACCCATTAGGATGGTATGTGTATAGTATTAGTCACTCATCCTTACTCTTGTTTAACTCATGGTAGAGTATATGTGTACACCTCTCACTCTCTTCTCTTCATACATACCTCTCAACTTCTCCATTCCTAGTTTATCCACTCTTCTTACACCACAGTTCATAGTTTATCCACTCTTCTTACACCACAGTTCATAGTTTATCCACTCTTCTTACACCACAGTTCATAGTTTATCCACTCTTCTTACACCACAGTTCATAGTTTATCCACTCTTCTTACACCACAGTTCATAGTTTATCCACTCTTCTTACACCACAGTTCATAGTTTATCCACTCTTCTTACACCACAGTTCATAGTTTATCCACTCTTCTTACACCACAGTTCATAGTTTATCACTCTTCTTACACCACAGTTCATAGTTTATCCACTCTTCTTACACCACAGTTCATAGTTTATCCACTCTTCTTACACCACAGTTCATAGTTTATCCACTCTTCTTACACCACAGTTCATAGTTTATCCACTCTTCTTACACCACAGTTCATAGTTTATCCACTCTTCTTACACCACAGTTCATAGTTTATCCACTCTTCTTACACCACAGTTCATAGTTTATCCACTCTTCTTACACCACAGTTCATAGTTTATCCACTCTTACACCACAGTTCATAGTTTATCCACTCTTCTTACATCACAGTTCATAGTTTATCCACTCTTCTTAAGAAACTGAGAGATGATGTGAATTTACCGAGAGATCATATATGGGAATAATTGAATGTGTAAGGAAGATATATAAACCATATGGGAAGTGGACAAGTGTGTACGGAAGACCCTGATAATGTATTGTAGATGGGTATCTGACAAGTACAGTAATGGGGAGCTCTCTGGCTATCTCACTTCAGCCAGACAGCTTTAAGTATTACATGGAGACTTGTAAAAGGGCATTAGTATATATCTTAGGATCAGCACCCAGTAATATGATCAGCTGTACAGAGGGAAGGGAGGGGTTAAACCTGGGGTGGGCAAACATAAGCCAATAGCCACATGTGGCTATCTGCCAGAAATGTGTGGCTATTTTGCCTTCTGGAGCTGATTTACTTGACAATTTTCTAGAGGCTGCAAAGTAGTTTGATCTGAATATGACAAAATTGGTATCAGTGACAACGGATGGTGCACCATCCATAGTAGGGAAAAAATCAGGTTTTGTTGCTCTATTGCAGAAACATTTGGAATAACTTGATGGCATCATTTCTGTTTCACCTTCATTCCACAGCATCTTGCCCCAGGAAAGTCTTTGTGCAAAAATGGCTGGAGATGACTCTTTGAATGACTTGATGAAGACCGTCTTTCAAATTGTCAATTACCTTCACAGCAACAGTGTTCTGGTTCATCTGCAGCTGTGGATTCATTGAAAGAACTTGATGAATGTAATTTCGATGATGTACAGTAGTTTACTACACAAATGCTCATTGGCTGAGTCTTGGTAAGGTTCTGGAGCAGTTCGCTGCCTTGTTTCCTCAGATTCAAGAGTTTCTTGTTCAAAAGCTGCAAATGGAGAAATTCTCAGGAATTGTAAGTGAAGATTGGCAGTGCAATTTGTTGTTTTTGTCTGACATTATAGGTCACTTTAATCGTCTCAACACTAAACCTCAAGGAAAAGGAAAACTCATTTGTGAGCTAACTCAAATGATTAGTGAGTTCAAGTTGAAACTCAGTCTTTGTCTTATACAAGTCCAGAAACAGGATTTCACACACTTTTCCATTCTCATGCAGGTACAAATACATTCTGGAGCACAAGCAGCTGATGAGCTAATCAGTAGCAAAGAGGATAAAAGTAAAAAAGTTATTCTGGGGTTTTACTTGTAAATCAAAGCTTGAGACAAAATCGCTTTTCTCGTACAGTGTCTGCAAATTTGATTCGGCGGTAATGTGCGTTTCTCTCACCAATATGTCGAGAGTTCGAGTCATGCGTGGCTCGGACACAAGTGAGAAGGGTGTTATCCAGTGTGACCTTACCAAACATCATAGGATTCCTTTGGGCACTCTGGTTTCCTACTGTACTAACACTGGATAGACCAACTACAGTACATACCTGAATGGCGAGTAAGCTGATAAAGGGTGAAATGATAAATACAAAAGAAAATGAGGTTGTGCCTGTATATACTCTAGTACAGTACAGTACATCATGGATGACACTGTCCAGCTATATTATAGTTTAAGTTCCAGCCTGTGTTTCTTCCCCAACACCCGGTCACCTCAGTGAAAGTGCTGACGGTGGCCCCATAGGACCTACGAGAGGAGCAATTCTGTCGTTACTTCCTAGGGATCAAGGCTGATGTTAATGAAGTGATGGCCAGGATGTATTTCCAGGAACATGCAACTCAGTGCATGTTTATACAGATGGCTCCAAATCCGACACTGGTGTTGGGTTTGGAGCAATCTTCCCTCATTTTAGCCGCTGTGGGAGACTTCCCACCTTTGCATCTAATTTTATTACAAAGCTCTCTGCCATATGCCTAGCCCTTTAAGAAATCAACAAGCATAAAGCTTGGAGTTTTACTATTTTTAGTGATTCCAGAGTAGCACTGTCTTCTCTGTTGTTTTAGTTATTTTAAACTGGCTGGTGGTACTCTGTCAGCAGGGCCATATAATGTTGATTTCTGTTGGGTTCCTGCCCATGTATCTATACGAGGTAATAAGGGGGCTGACGATTTAGCCAAGTCTGCTTGCTACCTCTCATCATGCACCTTTATGCTCCCTGCCTCACAGAGATTTCTTCCCTGAAGTCAGGTCAGTCATCCTGACCTCCTGGTAACTACAGTGGGACAATTTATCCATTCCCAACAAATTGCGAGAGATTACAAAAAAGATCTATCTGTGGGAATATACTTGGATGTCCCCCACTATGAGACTGCCTTTACCCGCCTACGTGTTAGACTCACCCACCTAACCCAGAATTTCCTTATGGCTGGAGGACCACAACCCTATTGTGATGATTGCCTGGTGCCACTGACTGAGACACTAGCTGGTAGTGTCCCAGTCATGGGGAATTGAGGAGTCGTATTCTGGCCAAGTGCTGGCAGGAGGATGGATCTTTCTCCATCCCAAAAGTGCTCAGCGGGAGAAGTTCAGCGCCTGATGGTGGACTTTTTAAATTTTTACTTGTATTAAAGGTACTTAACCATTTGTAATTTTAAATAAATACATGATTTTATATTATTATAATTTTTATATTTAAACTTAATTGGATTTTATTTTATTTGTAGTCATAGTTTTAAATTATGTTTAATTTCCGGCATCAAATGGCCACAGGCTGCATTGCCAGATATTTTACCCAATCAATCAATCCAGCCTCTGTCCCATGAACATACTTAAGATTATTTTAGTTTTGCTCACTTAAGAAATAGGTCTCTCTCTCTCTCCCTCTCTCTCTCTTTCTCTCTCTCTCTTTTTTGATAAAGCAGCCATTGGTTAATACTGATATTGTTTTTACAGGCACTGGTAGGGGGAGAAGGTCGCACTAGAGATGTTATGAATTTGGCCATCACCACTTCTCACACTGACTTGAAGAAAGAGCTGGTGTCCAGAATGAATCTTTCTGAAGTGAAGAAAAAAACAATTTCTCAAAAGTAAGATGCAAATGTTATTATATTACTATATCTATTTATGATTTGATAAAGAAAATTAATTATCATAGTTTTGTCTGATAAATCCAAATATTGTAAGTAGCAGACATAAGTTCTAACTACAGAGTTCTGGCATTCTACAGATTTTATTTAAAATGCATGTTGCTGAAATCCCTACAGATCTTTAGTGTACAGTCAGCGGTCGCTTTTTGTACGTTTGATATACCTATGATTGATGATCTGAGCATTTTCTACTGTTACCATATTTTTTCTGTTATGTACAGTCATCTTCCGGTATAATGTTACCCCCTACCAAGTCTTCCTTGCTTATGTGGCAATCTCACACTCTCATGTGGCTAGGGAACTGAGTGATAGGGCTGTTCCCTATTACAGTGGTCCCTCGGTTAATGAACGGTTCAATTAACGAAATTTCGGTTAACGAATTACCTCCCATAAGGGTCTTCAATTCGGTTAACGAACAAAACTTCGATTACCGAAATCCTTACGAACAACACGTTTTGTTGTGAGCATCAGCTGATCAGCTGATGGGCTAGTCTGCCAATTCAGTAATATGTTCCATGTTTACATTCGTTTCCAGTGGAGTAAATATCAAGAAAGTTGTGCTCTTTAATATTTTTGCATTTTTTGTTAAAATCTTATTGTAGTCATTTTAAAATTTAGTTAACTTATTGATAATATATGCAGTACAGGGGACTAGTATTTTGTGCGCCTATCAGCCGCTTGACTCGGCCACCAGGCTTCAATGTGGCTTTGTTGACAGTGGAGTGAACATCTATTTTGTTGGTGTCTTGAATATTTATGCATTTTTCCATTGAAATTATTGGTCATTCTTAAATTTAGTTAACGTATTGATAATGTATAGCACAGTGCAGTGTTGATTTAAATAAAATAATCTTGAATTACACCTAGTGAACTTAAAATTTTATGGGTGAAATGACGGCATTAAGCATGGGTCCCCTGAAAGGTGATTTCTCTCCATCCCCACTTCCTTCTCTTCTCCCTTCTCCTCCACCCCTACTTCTAATTCCTATCATCATCAATCAGGAACCTTCTAAATACACACCTCAAAGTAAGTGTACTTTATTGCATTTTTTTTTTTTTACTTTGTATGTACTTTTCTGTGAGCTGGAACCAATTACCCAATATCCCATTGAAACAATGGATTCGGTTAACAAACGACTCTGTGGAACGAATTGTGTTCGTTAACCAAGGGACCACTATACTTGTTTTTGTCAGTATTTGTATATTGACGATCGAAAGAACAGTCATCAATGCAAATAATACATATTTTGGATTCTGTGATATGATATATGATGTCACTTACAAAAATGAAGTAAGAAAACTAAAGCAGACATACAAAGCAAGCATAATAAGCCTTAAATAAGCAATGTAAAGCATAATTTGAGACTGTTATTTACTTGTGTTGAAGATGGTAGAGATAGTCTATGGTGGTAAATTCAAGTCTCTACCACTCTTTGCTGGTCCTTCACCACTTTAATTATGCCTTATCACATCAAATCAAGCTGCCCAGCACAAGAGGAACTATCACTGGGGCATTTGGACATGATTGAGTAACACACTAAGTCAGAAATAACAAAACAATACAAAGTCAGGGACACATAGTCAGTGTAAACAAGAGCAGAGGTGGTGGGAATGAGTCACGGCAGTGCTCAGAGCCCTCTTGTGGCAAAAATTCGCATTATGCCACCGCCTGCCAAATTCAAAACAGCTCTGCTGCTCCTCTCCCAATCGTCAGATCTCCGGGGTATCAACGAGGTATTTCTCCTATATGTAATCGTTGGTTATATGAATCGGCAGTTAACAGGACATTGGTTTTCGGAGTACACCAATACATGTACATAATAATTAAAGGCATTTGAATTTTGCAATGAGATATTGGAATATCTATAAAATGTTTGAAAAAGTGCATTTTACCTTTGGACTGCACAGTTAAAACATAAAACCTACCAATGTTTAGTGGAATATATAAATCATGTAAAATATACAGTACCAAGGTGGACATTTGGACTACATATTATTGAAGAGAATAAAGCTTAATCAGAGCTGGTCCACCCTACAGGTGATATATGTAGTTGCTTGGGGCCCCAAGCGATGTATTTCTAATTTATTTGTAGGTACCCTTTTCAACAAATTCTCGAATCGGTAAATGATTTCCAAACTGGTCAGGCTCACAGCTGGGCTGATGAAGTGTGCCAATGCCAAAGGTATGACAATTGTCTATACAGTTTGAAAAATTACAGTACAGTATATCATTTGTTTGTTTTTCTGGTCAAATGAAATTTATTTTCACAAATTTATAAAAAAAAATATGAATTTATACAATTTCTATACAATTGCCAACAATTTGTCATGCTTTACAACAATGTTTACTGTTATTTATTGTTCATTTTCACTTAGGCACATTGTGCCAATATGTATGGTGTATGTATGATAGTATGCAATGAAATTCAGATATCCTTAAATAAATGATTTAGGCCTATATGAGTTTGAATGCCACTGGGTAGAGTGAGGGAGGGGCCCCCTAAAGTATAGTACCAGCCCTGATGCTTATCCATATTTATTGGAACATCTAGACCATGTGAAATATATGCTGAACAAGGCTTTTACCTTTAGAGTGCCTACAGTTAGAGAAATATAGACCCTTCCGGTGTTTATTGGAATACTGTACTGTACATCCAACGTGTATAATGCGTAGGTGTTTTACATTTGAACTGCATATAATTAAAAAAAATAAAAAGAACTACATTACAGTACTTATTCTCACATGGCATACTGTTGTGGCATTTGGAATTACAATACAGATTTCCTCTTCTTACATTGGCACATGTTGGCTGCACAGTGTTTTGTATGTACCCAACATAATATGATTTTTGGTTCTGTCTTCCTTTAGAATTGGTTGGCTGGAGAATAAGGTGTTAAACAACTGTGAGAAAGACAGGACAGGGCCACCTCTCAATCCCCTAACCTCTCCTGTGTCTCGGGCTGCACACTTGATATCCCTGGCAGCAACACCACCAAGTTAGTGGTATCTGGAGCATTCAAGTTCTTATGTTAACTTTTTTATTTTTCGTTCTTAAACTTGAGCATTACAAGATGCATATTATCCCATGAACTTTGTTGTACAGATTGTATTACCCTCTACACACCTTAACTCAACTGTCTCTTACTGCTAGTGCCATCTCTTTGGGATGTTTCTATCTCTAAGCCCATGATACACACAAATAGTAGAATAGTAAAGATAATACCCTGTACAGTCACCCACAAAATTCCTGTCTCCTCTCCTTCTTAACCACAAACCCCGAGATTCAGACTCGTGAACCCGAAGCAATAGACACTGATGCATTATTCTGTCCATAAATGCTTTGGCTTCACGAGTCTGAATCTCGGGGTTCGTGGTTCAGGAGGAGAAGCGACAGGACTTTTGTGAGTGACTGTACATACTGTGCTCTGAGGCTGATTATAATGCTTGTGTAAAAGTTATACTCAGTAATGTTAGTCAGCGACATATGTGGTGGCGTACTTTGATATTAGTCACAATTAGCCAAGACTCTTCGATCCGGACCATAATCAAAGTCATAGGTTCTATTGTGACCCACAGGCCACCATTAATGCACACTGGCATCATCACCATTTGCTACACCTTATATACCACCTGCACTGGCTCAAGTTAAGTGTGCCCGCAGTTGAAACAGCCAGTCACAGCATGGGGTTGTTCAAACTCTGGCCACCATGATCCTCTCCATTGGTTATTTTAAGGGTGTCTTCCATCCATGCAAGAAACTTATTCTATAGGATCAGCGACATTACCAACAACCTCTTCTGTGACAGTTACAGCTAGAACCACCCACTGTAACTCTATGCCAACAACTTAATCATGCATCTCCACCTACCTCACATAGTCTACAGCCAGTTATTCAATTTCTTAGTTCACCTTTACAAACACAGATTTTGTAGACTTGTAAAGAGGTTTTGTCTTGTATGAGATTAAAAAATAGAAGTGTATTTTTTTTTAGCTTGAGATTCTTTATCCTTTTTATTGTTGGTCATTTCATCACCACACAGAAAACACCATAGATTTACAACTTAATTTCCTAATATGTACAAACAAAACACTGCCATTTTGAGCATTTTATTTGACATTGTAGTAAGCATAGCAGAGAGAAACCAATACATTGCCTTAGACTTGCTCTCTTTGAAATGCTTTCTCTACACTTGCTGACACATCTAGTGAAGTAAGGGGTCTGCTTTTGGATCTTAACTGATATGGTGGTACTGATTCAACCAGTATTTCCCATTTTTCCTTGAGAAAAGAGTTGAACTTTAACCTATGCCAAGTGTTATTTTCTGTAAACATATACAGGGCGTCCTCACTTAACACTCTTAGAATGGACTTGCCCATAATGCTGCACTGTGATTGGTTAACTGTAAGTTCAACACATATTCAGCCACAAGAAATGGTAAGATTTTAGGTAATATAATTCAAACATTGGTGATGGTAATCCTTCCGGGAAGAGAGCAGAAGACTAGCATGTAATGCGTCATCCAGACCACACACACACACACACACCTGTCGCAGTCAGGCGTACTAAGTGACCAGATGTAGTCATTGTTACACTTTCAGTATAATCTACTAAGTTTTAATATTCATTGGCCAAAGCTGGAAATACATTTGCTTAACTATACATGAGGAACAAGCTGCATGACCCAGACCCTCTTGCCTCTTTCTCATGTTCTTACGAAGGATCCCAATATGACGGCCTATGAAGGATTAGTGTCTATGGGTGAGTGACAAACACATTACAGTATGTAACTTGGTGCATTCTGTGGGTCTAACAGTCTGTAACACTAGATTCATTTAACTTCTTTTTTGTGAAATCTGGAGACTGAATAACTCAGTGTAGGACTTGGCTGTACATTGAAGTGTATTAAGAGGTCTATGAACTTGCAGGTTTGGAGTTGACATTACAGGCCACAAAGTGTGTCCCTCATATTCCACAAAATTGGAATTTATTTACATTAATCTTTTTGGTTTCAGGTAAGAAGGCTGCAGATTCACATAAGGTAAAATTGGAGTGTGAGGCACTGGAGTTCCTCATCTCCCTTGATCTCTCCTTGGAGGATATATGTTCCCTCAAAGTTTTAGGTGAGATAAAACACTAATCTCAGTCTGTTATGTGTCTTTGTACAAATGAAGTTTGAGTCCTGTGGTGCAGATTATGTTTATTGTATGTCACAAGAAGTATGGAAAGAGAAAATTCAGGAACTTGAGGTGTTACAGCACACACAAGCCTTCCAGTAAAGGTGTATCACCTCCTTTACCTTAACTATATTTGTATCACTCTCTTTGATAACCTTCAGCAAAGTTTGTGAATGATGGTAATTTGCTATCACTTTACTGTGCATTAATAAATTTAAAAAACAATTCAGGTCTGTTCGTTGATGTGGAGTCAGTGACACATGTTTATTTTTAGCATTGCTGACATTAGTTATTTACTAAAATATTATGTAAGGTGAAATGCTGTTACTAGGGGGAAAGTGTACTTATCTAATAGTAAAATGGCGCCTTCTTTAAAACTACTCGGGTAATGTTTTAAATTACTGAAGTAGAAAAAGTAAAAGTAGTGTTCTGAAATTTACTTTGTGCAAGATTGATGAATACTTTAAATAACTTTTGAATAACATAAACAAATATATAACCTCAACATTTAATTTTTTCAGGAGTTCGTCAGCAGTTTGAAAAAAAAGAAAAAAAAAGCTTGAATCATGATGAAAAGGTGATCTTTAAGAATATTGCTCTGGACTATGCTAAGCAGAGACTTGAAAACTTAGAGAAACAACAAGAAAATTCTTCGGTTAAATCTTCTCTTGAAAATGGAGTCTTAGAAAATCAAAGAAAATCAATTAAAAATGAGAAAGAAAATCATAGAAGACATGTATTAAAATCACCAGAAAATAATAAGAGAGAAGCAGTTGCTAATGTAAAAATGCTAAAGCAAGTTGGAGACAGACTGAGCAAAGGAAGAGTTCAACACAAAGAGGGCACTAATGAAACAGCCACGTCTCCTTCTCACCCTCCTCGTAAGTTTACATTTAGACGTGCAGAAATTCCCCCGGGAAGCCCTGTAGATTTACTAAAGAGAAAGACCAACTCTTCTCATAGTGTGAGTAATGATAGACTGAAGTTAAGGGAGAATGATGACTTATCTTCTGATTCATCTCTTCCATCGTCCCACAGAAATAATCTTGCTCTCTCTGATTCAAAGGTGATCTCTCCCAAGAACTTCTCGAGGGGAAGACACAAGAGGAAACTTATTCAACAGTCTTATTTAAACAAACAGTCTCAGTTAGATGTCTGGATAAGCCCAAAGGAAAAACGAAAAAAGCAAGATAAATCATTTACTTACTCTAATCATAGCAAGAATCAGTTTACCTCAGAATTAAATATTGTTGATGATGATCTCATTGTGATTGATGATGAGGACGATAACAAAACATCAGGCACTTTCAGTAAATGTGACACAGGTGGTGGTTTCATAGATGATGTAACAGCTTGGCAAAATGCTAATCCCCTTCAAAAATATAGCAAAACTGAGCACCAGGAAGATGGTCACCAATTAAATGGGTGGATTTCAAGAACATCACCAAAGTGTAAAGTTGATAAACCTGGTTTTTGCCTTGGTGCTTCACCTGCTGATAAATTTGGCACATCCAGAAAAAAGAAACAGTCACAAGAGGACAACTTAGAGATTCAATCATCATCTTTGGCCAGTGATGGTGATCCAACCATGGTAGAATGTCCTCTGTGTTCAGGTAAGTTTCATGGATGTCTGAAGTTTTCTTCTTAATATCAATATTTATACTGTACAGTACAGTATTTTACTTCTTAATTACTGTATCAGTGTTTCTTATAGTGTACTGGAAGGAAGCTGCCTTATAATTGTTGCTGATTAATTAAAATAAATGATTTTTTTTTACTCTCATCATTACTGTTTCTGTTTTTAAGTTATCATTTTCTGCCAAAAGTATAAAATCTTCTAAATTGTATTCAACTTCAGTTATAAATTATTGAGGAGAAATTCAGTCAATCAGTCACTTGCACCATGGGTTACTCATCACTGAAGCAAAATAATCATCACTACTTTCACTTAATTATCCATTATTTGTTGCTATATATTACATCATACTGTACTATATAAAACATCAAAAGTACTGCAGAATATAATTTTTATTATTGTACTGTACTCAAAATAATTTGAAAATTTTCTCCTCTGTACCCAGAACTTTTCCAGTCATCAGAAATAGAGTCTCATGCTGCCTCATGTGGCACCACAGTCTGCCTGGAGTCAGAAGCAGGTGGTGCTCACTTTCAGCGGAGCCTCACTTACACAGAGGTGTGATGTAAACAATATTTTATTGTTTTATTTGCCCACATTGTCAGAGCTTTCTTATACTGTAGTAGTTCAGGTATTGTACTGTACCATATTTCATATTCTACTGCACTGCAATATTAATCTTGGTCAAGAAGGATCAGTTTAGGTCAGTGAGATGAGGATGAAAGCCTAAGCTGTATTTCAGAAAATGGCACTGCCATACCATGCTTTTAACACTGTCTACTTTCTTTTGACAATTATTTTAGAATTGATTAATATTTCAGTGTACAGTATGTACACACTTTTTTTATATCCGCTGTTTAGTACAGCTTCAGGTTCCTTTTATAAGAGAGTAAACTTGTATACATTACCAGGTGTCTTTGTTTAAATGTGTCAATGTTATGTTTAAGTTTTAGATGTGTTGTGATGTGAGTGTGGAATCTTGCTCTTTCAGTGTTTATGTTTTCAATCATGTCTTTGTAAGTCATAGAGTGAAGGCCCTACGCGGACACAGTATGAGACAGAATTAGGAAGTGTTGGCTATAACTTTATAAGTGAACTCCTATGGGGGTTACGTTGAAGATTGGCAAAGGATCTGTTTGCTTACAGTAAAAGTGTTATTGTGTAGAAGTGTACCTCAGTTATTTTTGAGTGGTGGTAAGTTGTCAAGGATGGCTTTGAAGGTTGTAGTTGTGAATAGTAAGGTACTGATGCAGATGAATTGGTTGACTTGACTTTTGGCTGAATGAACATTGTTATTACATCTTGAATTTTATTCTATCACATTTTAGGGGGACAATACAAGGTTTGAGCATTTGCTGTACTACTGTATTTGAAATACAATATAACATTAAGAATTTGTTTTTCAGGACAAGGCAGATGAAGTGGAGGAATGTCCAGTGTGTGGTGATTGGGTCAGAAGTTGTGACATTGAGGACCATGCAACAGACTGTGCCAACTCCATGTTTGACTGACACAGATAAGAGTTTGTTACATCTGGTTGTATGTTTTATTGTTCCCAAGAATTTATTCACTTGATGCAAAAGGAGCCAAATCAAATGATGTGCTGTTTGATGTGATGACATTGACTCCATCATGTTGATACTTGCTTCACTGTTGGTGCATCACAACACACATCACATCACTCACCATACTAATGGAACTCCCATCAGTGCAAATCATCAAGCCATCTCATATTTTTGTTTGTTTCATCATTATTTAAAATCAAATCAAATTTCTCATTTGCTGTACTTTATATAGAAAATTGGGTTGTTATGGATTGGAGGATAGGATTACTGCTTCAGGAGTGTCCGCCTGTGAGTCTCCTCAATCATTCGCGAACATTCTTAAAGAGGAACTGAAGGTGTTTAAAAAAGATCAGGGTGATACTAAATGATAATAATAATAATAGCTGGACTTTTGTTTCTCAAAAGTGCCATTTCTTCTAAAAGAATTCATTGGTATTCGAAACACTACAAAGTTAAAGACTTGAGAGTAAAAATAAATACTGCACTACAGTAAAAGATCACAAAAAGTGACAGTTCAACTAATATCATTCATATACCCTTAATTTTTAATACAGATAAACCTCTGTTTATGACCTCCCAGTCTACAAAAATTCGCATTAACGATACCATTATATTAAGACCACTTCCCTATTTGTGATGTAAACAACTTGCATAATGATACAATATTCGTCATCCCGCCAGCTTCCCAAGTCGGCATATGGAACACATTACTCACTTCATTTGTTAGCTGAAGCGTCATCTTCCCGAACACCATCTCATGGCCATCTGGTGAACTACAGTCCAAGCATTGTTTCTTCTTGGTTACATGTGTGTAAGAAAGGGAACTCGGTGTTTATCGGTCATCGTCGGTGTTATTATTTTTACCTTACAGTGAGAGGACATCACGAAAGTTCACATTGTATTGTACTCTGTTTTAGTGACTGTGAAGTCTTTTCCCTGTTTTAATGACTGTGAAGTAGTACTTTTGCTTTATGAAGTGCTTTTGCTCTGATCCCTCACCCTGACAATGGGTGACCTGACATTGCATCAGAAGGTTGGTATGAGACCACTAATCCCGCCATCCCAACTTCACCACAAATGAGAGAAGAGTTTATATACAATGGGTGGACCTGACATTGCATCAGGTCAGGTCAGTTAACAGGAGACCCACTAATCCCCTACCACACCTCCATCACAAGTGTTAAAAACCATAAAAAGTGATTACAGTTATGTATTACATTCAGGAGATTGGACAGTATACTCCTACTGTAGGCTTAAGACGACAGTAGTAATATACCCTGTACTGTACATTGTTTTGCTTGTTTGTAATATATTGTACGTGTACAGTGGTATTTGCATAAATAAATACACCTCTTGAGTCTGTTCATGTGAGATGCGCCACTTAGATTTAAGGAAAACAGTGGAGAATTCCACTGTGATACACAGCTCCATTCATGAGGTGCCTCATATGCCTGTATCGTGTGGATTCATGTTACTTGTATATTATTTGTAATTCGTAACCCATTCCCCAAATATGTAACTGTATATTTTTAGCCTTCTGGCTGCCAAGCTCTTTCAATAAACCGTTAATTATTATTATTATTTTATTATTATTATTTTTAACTTTTAAATATATTTATTTAAGCAAACTTTTAGATAAATTAATCAAGATTATTTTAGTAAAAAAAATATACGGTGTTTCTAATTTAATTAGAACTGATTTTATAGACATTTCATTATACCATGTCGAAATATTTTGTTTAAGGATCTTTTATTTGAAAAGTCTGATAGAGAATTTATTCAGGATCATTATGGTATCAAATTCATCTCTTTATCACAGTTAGCAGATGCTAGAGTATAGGAGGTAGTGGAGTGAGGTAGGAAGGGAAGCTACCTTGGGAGGAGAAAGTGACCATGGACCTCTTCAACCCCCCCAAAAAGGTTTGCCTCCCATTTGTGACCCCTGCCTTTTTCACTCATTCTCCTATAACTACAAATCTGCTAACGTTTTTTAGGAAAGTCTTCGAGGTAGTAGATAATGACGAAAATTACGATGTTATTAACTTAGACTTTAGCAAAGCATTTGACAGAGTACCGCATCAGAGGCTTCTGAGAAAAATTAAGGCTCATGGTATCAAGGGGAAAGTTTTAAATTGGATAAAATCATGGCTCACCGATAGAACGCAGAGGGTCAGCGTAGATGGTGTTAAATCTGAGTGGGGCCGTGTAACCAGTGGGGTTCCTCAGGGGTCAGTACTAGGCCCACTCTTGTTCATAATCTACATAAACGATCTAGATACTGGGATCAGCAGTGACATAAGCAAGTTTGCGGATGACACCAAAATAGGGCGGCAGATTAATTCAGGGCAGGATGCAAATGCATTACAGGAGGATCTAAATAAACTGCAGGGTGGTCTGAAAAATGGCAAATGAAATTCAACACCAGCAAGTGCAGCGTACTTAATATTGGAAGAACAAATACTTATAATGTATACAGCCTTAACAACATCAACCTAGAGAAGTCGACTTGTGAAAGAGACCTAGGGGTACTAGCTCTTGCAACTATATCTTGCAGTCAGGCCAGATTATGCGGTTCAGTTCTATTATAGAATGGATATAAATTCACTAGAGTCGGTGCAGCGAAGAATGACAAAAATGATTCCGGGACTTAGAAACCTTCCATATCAGGATAGGCTTAAGAAACTTAACTTGCATTCCCTAGAAAGACGAAGAGTGCGGGGAGATATGATAGAAGTATTTAAGTGGGTGAAAGGAATCAATAAAGGGGATATAGATAAAGTTCTTATAATATCCGAGCAGGATAGGACTTGGAGCAACGGATTCAAGTTGGATAAGTTAAGGTTTAGGAGGGAGATAGGAAGAAACTGGTTCACAAATAGGGTGGTGGACGAGTGGAACAAGCTTAGCAAATTTGTCGTAAGTGCGGGAACTCTGGAAAGTTTCAAAAGGAGGCTAGATAGATTCATGGATGATAGAGAGTGGTAGTAACTCTCGACAGGAGCTGCCATGCACAGGCCAACCGGCCTATTGCAGACTCCTTATTTTTTTATGTTCTTATGATTAACTCATTTATGATACAGTATTGTTTTTTGTTCTTCATTAATTAGTAAAGATATGTTAATGTAATAATGTACTGTTATTAATATCTGCGCCCTTCATATACAATACCCTGTACCTGTACCGTATGAGTATATGTCTCATAGGTAAAAAATAACATCATCAGGATTGCATCTCCATATATGCAATGATCCCAAATTCATTCCTCTAACACAAATAAAGTAGATGGTGTGACTAAATATTAATACTGTACACTCTTTTCCTGCACCTCAAAAATACCCGCCTGGGTCGCACATATTATGCCACTGCAAGATTGCGTCTTCATATCTTGGAATACTGCAAGCTATTGCACATCACTTTTTCATAGTGACAATGCAGGAAAAGCATTTGGGTAGCCATCAGGTAGCGACCGTCAAAAATATGATCTTAGCCATTGCATAGCAGTATTTGTTGTTAATTTCTTAACATCGAAAAACTGATCGATCGTATATCAATCAGTCGTATATTGGCCAACACCTGTACTATCTTCCACATAGCATAGGGAAGAATACACATTATACCCATGAAGTACAGTATAGGTACCCAACCTAATCCAACCCAACTTGACTCACTTTACACAACTCACCTCATCTAATCTGAACTACCTCCTTCCCAATCACATTTTCCTTCAACCAGTCTTGCCACTGATGTCTCATATCACTTTCGTTTATTTTCTCAAATTTCATTTGACTTTCACTCTGACTGTGTTGTCTTGGGTCTTCTTTGTCATCATTTTCTCTTCCTTTATCTAATGAATATTGTATGTCAAATAATTGATCATGTCATGTTGGTGTTTCATATCTGTGTGGCATATCTTTACCAGTAGTTTTAGCCATACATGTACAAGATATATTAATAAAGAAGAACTCACAATATTTGTTTTTTCAAACAATACAAGCTTCTTATGTGGCCATGCAGATATCAAAGCTGAATTGTTTCCCTCCATACATCTTGTAGCATATCACACTGTACTACACTGTACTGCACAGGGGTTTTTAATAGCCCCATGTATATTTTCCTTCAGATTTTCCAAAGTGGCTGGCCCTGGTGAAAAAGGAAATTATATTTTTTGCAGTCCCAGAATAAAATGTAGTTGATTTTTTTTTTTTTTTTAGAAGATAGTTTGTAATTACCCAGTATGTAAGTACAGTGAGGTATGCTATAACAAATCTAATTGGTTCTAGAACCTTGTTCGTTATAGCATTCGTTCGTTATAGGATTAATCCGTTCCAAGCCCCCAAATACAACCACTTAACACTGAAAAATACAATATAAAATTGTAAAAATTGTAAAAAAGTGCATAAATATGCATTTAAACCCCTGAAATAAAGAATATCATTAATACTTGTAATAAAAAAACAATAAATTAGTAAAAAAAAAAAAAAAAATGTTCGTTGTAGGAGTTTCGTTCGTTATAGCATTCTCAATTTTATATGTAAAACCGTTCGTTATAGGAATATTCGTAGTAGGATCCGTTCATTATAGCATACCCCACTGTACAGTCCAATAATAGGAAATTATTAAAATTGTTAGTTTTTCAGTATACAGGAGCTCCTCTACTTAAGAACATTCAACTTACAAACTTTCAGAGATACAAACATCATCACTGAAGGGGGTTACCTGCCAGAACAGGTGTTTAATGTGGATGAGACTGGATTATTTTGAAGAAAATTCCAGATAGAACAAACATTACCTAAGAGGAGAAGAGCGAGCCAGGTTTTAAGGCTGTATTAAAGGGTATAGCTGTACTAAATATCCATAATCTTTTAATCTTTTGCAATATGTTTGGTATCTACAAGAGTAAAGTTGGACTTACAAACAAGCCTCAGGAACGTAACTCATTCGTAAGTAGAGGAGCACCTGTACTGTGTGTGTGTATATATATTTGGTATATACATATAGTATATATATTTCATGTAGATCCACAATGGAAACATGGACAGGATAAATCTCAATAAAATCACACAGGAAAAGGGAAGCAATGGAGCACCATTGTTTCCCTTTTCCTGTGTGATTATATATATATATATATATATATATATATATATATATATATATATATATATATATATATATATATATATATATATATTATATATATATATATATATATATATATATATATATATATATATATATATATATATATATATATATATATATATATATATATACATACAGGCATCCCCGCGTTACGGAAGGGTTGCGTCCCTGGAAAATTGACCGTATCGCGAAATTCTGTAACGCGAAACCTATTTTCCCATTGACTTCCATTATAAAACTGGAGATGCGTTCCTAAGTATTTTTTCGGCCCCAAGAAAGTAATTCAAACACTTTTATGAATGAAAATAAACATTTAAAAACACACACAATACAGTACATTAAATAATTTATGATATACATGTAATATGAAGAGAAATAGTTGGAATAAATAAAAATATTGTACTGTACTCACCACAAAAGATGTTGACTGCTGTGTGAGGATAGGTGGTACAAAGAGAGTTTTTGGGAGGGATTGTTCCCACTGTTGAAGTAGCAATACCTAATGTTTTTGCAATCTGGCTAAGTTTTTCTCCAGCATCAAACCTTCTTAAAACATCAAGTTTAATATCCAATGTAATGCCTTTGCCGCTTCTTTTTGCACTACTGCGGTCACTTCCACTTGATGGCCTCTTTCCAGTCATCTTGAATAAGGGTAATGCACTGTACTGTACTTACTGTATATTTGTAAAAGTTAAATCCAACTGCTGGGGCGAGAAACATGCGCGCACACTGGATGTAAACAATGGAATGACTCCGCGTAGCAAACACCAAGAAATCCACACCAAACAAATTATAATTTTAACACAAATTTTTAATTTTATATCGTGATTTTTTTTTTAAATTGTTAAAATTTACCCCAATTTCCATGAGGACGGATTTACGGGCCTTATCACGAAATTACTGGTCATAATTTACAAATTCCGTAAGAGCGAAATTCCGCAACTCGGGGTTCCGTAACGTAGGGGATGCCTGTGTATATATACTGTACAGTATATATATAGAGAGAGAGAGCAAAATAGAAAATAGAAGGCTTATGACAAGACACAACATCACAGGATTTATAAAGTGAGCCTGTACAAGAGTAGCCATTTGTCGCAATCTTTGGTATTAATTTGTAAAGAAAGAGAAAATGCTGTTCTCTCATATTTTATTCCAAGTGTTTACAAAGCTCCTCTCCATCTCCAACTACAAACCCAATATTACTTTTTTGCACCACACACAATATACAGTTCAGTATATAGGCACAAACATTATATGTACTGTACTGTACAAAACTTCACAAGTCTGTTAGAGTATGATGAACAGTTTGTGTTATTCCAGTACAGTTCTTTGATAATAAAGATATATTTTAATACAGTAAACCATAGCTCAATGCACATATCAGTAAGTATATGATTCTGGATGTTACTTTTTTTTCCTTGCCTTTTTCCATTCGGGA